TAGGCCATCCAAGTGGGATGATGGGGCCAGGCCGAGTGGGAGGCAGCAATCTCCATACCGCTCCCAGCAGGGCTAATCATTGCAGAACAACTACATCTGCCGTATGGCGATGGGAAGCCATGCTACAAGGTTGCAGCCCACGTGTCAGCAGCCCTCTTTTTGTGCTCAATGTCTCTGGATCCTACGCTGACCGGGGGTGCAAAATGGGGACAACTAAGCGCACCACCTCATGAACTTGACAACCTCAATATTGACGAGAGTGCCGAGGCAAGGGCGTAAAGCCGTGGAAGCGGCGCGGGCGCGTCTATGTTTCATCCTTCTGGCGCGGGTCACACACACACACACTGATCAACGGGCCAGCCCTGGAGCTCCATAATGGGATAAATAGCCGCAGGACAAGATGAGATGATTCTGGCGGCACGGCAGTGGATGCTACGCATAAAGAGGAGAAGTGTGCCTCCAAGCCACCCAGGCGGCGAGAGCCGGGCGATCCCTGGCCGTGCCCATATCAACCCCAACACCGTCCACTCAGAGCTGCCCTAGGATGGGGTCCTCTATACCAGCTGTGTATGCGGCACAGATGCCTCCATGCGTGCGTCTAATTTGCCTCTGCCTGGAGACCGGGACTGCACGGCTCCCCAAAGCTGTCGAGCAAGCGGACACTTGTCAAGCTTACCCGCGAATCTGCTGATGCAGTCCGCAGCATGCCGCGCCCAAACTTGCCTGGTGACGTCTAGATAAAAAAGGAACTCCATTCGAATTGTCCCAGATGGAGTCTTCTCCACCTCGCGGCCGCCCTTAAGAAACAGGGGAGGGGGGCGTTGATCCATGAAATCGCAACCCTGCTTGATTCTTATTTTCCTTTTTCTCTCCTCGCATGCTCTTCCGACAGGACCCTCAACATGATTCCAAATACCGGACTTCTATCCAAGTACGGGGAAGCTTCTCAAGCGTAGTTGGTATAAGTCCCCTGGGCAGTATCACAATTCAGATTTCACTCACGGCACGCAAGGCACGGTCCTGTCCGGATGCTGCAGGGCCTCTAAACGCACCCATTTCGCGCTACTCGGTAGATGAAATTATACAATGCACCTGTTACCGACTTGCGGAGAGCCCCAGTCCAGGCGTTACCGTTTCACAAGGTACCTATATTTCAACTACCAGATGTCCAACGGTTCCCATGATCAGATGGCATGTCACGGCTAAGAGCCGATGGTGGGATGGAAATTAAACAAGATAGATTCGATCTAATTTTAGCGGACTGCTGCCAAATCGTATCATTGAACCTGCATGAAGTAAAATAAAGACCATGGGTTGTGATGCACTTCGGCGGCGGTAACACATCGACATCTGTGGTCCCTGCTCCGGATGGACTGGATTTAGACGCCACTCCCCGGTTTCATACCATACCACAGCCACGCGAGAGTCCTAAGATGGTTCAGTCTGGGAAAAAAATGGAGTCTTGTATTCCAGGGGAGCGTCCCTTGCACGCTCTTCTGTGCATGTGCGGCAAAGCTATTGGATCCATCCGGAGATATGAAAGCCTCCAAAGAAACACTCCCGATGACATTCCAGCTTGGCGCACGCGTGTATAATAAGGCAAAACCCGGCAATGCTCATGTACGCACAGGCCATAACGAGCACAAAGGAGCTCTGCTGGGGATCAGCCTTCACAACTGCCGGTTCTGTGGGCTGTGCATGTTTGAGAGTCGGTACGTCGCCACTAGCTCCCACTAGTTTGAGTCTTGGGAACAGCCTGTGCCCCTTTGATCAAATGTCCTGCCTTTCGTGGACTCCAGCCGCCCTGTTCAGGAGCGGTGACCCAGGCAACATGGCATGTTAGGAAGAACTTAATGATCTGTTGCTGCTTTAGTCATGGCATCTAGCGGTATCGAAATCGGGAGACCAAAATAGGGCAGGATCAAACCCTGTCAAGTGAAGCTATTCATAATCACTCTAATACAAGGCTGCCGACAGGGCTGTTGATTACAAACACCGGGAAGGAATGCATATGCACTACCACTTCAACCACCTCGTCGAGCTCCATACTGAGGTGGGATTAGTGCATTTAGCCAATGAATGTAGACGCGGTTGATAGATCTAGGACGGAGTGCACCATGAGCTTGGTCATGCTTAATCACGCAAGCCTACATTATAATGCTTTAGAAAGCATCTCGGGGGAGACTCTACTGTGCAAGAAAGACTATTTGATGTTAATAATAACTATTTACACGCCTTTTTGGGGGTAATTTTTTGGAACTATCTTGTCGAGGGATTCTATTGAACCCTCCAGAGGGGCGAGTGTAACTCGGTTTAATTCTTGCCGGCAAAGATGGCTAACACGATGCTGCGCCGTGTAGTGGTAGGGGAAATTACTCTGTGTCTTGAAAGTTCTATTAATGCCTAAGTTCACTTCATAAAAGAAGCCGAGATGTGACATCGTGCCCGGAACCTAGCGCTCAGTTGTATACTAGCTCTCCATTATCTTGCCCACGATCGTTATATTGCAGTTTCCAACTTCATGCAATATTGTAGTCCTGCGTAATTTAGTGCCCCTAACTAGACGCACAAGTGTTGGTTCTCGGATCCCACAGTCGGCGTGGCGGCCATCGACGCCCGTATAGGTTCGTCGCCATGTGATTAAGCCCCAGTTCGTACTTCAGGGTTCATATGGATCAAGGGGCATACCGAGATCTCGGATATGTAGCCAAAGGATTCAGAAACCCATTTCGGTGGTTCCCCCGTAGCACACATGAAATACCGAAGGTGTCACCAAGCCGGAGCTGGAGCTCTTAGAATAGAAGCAATGACCTTTTACCGAATCCATCAAGATCCTGCGTGAACGACCTACAACGTCCAATCAATGACCTCTATTATTAGACGACAGAGATGTGTTAGGTTCATCAGGAACTTAGCGTACGCGGATGGATGCCAGCCCAGCTTGACGGCGCGGTTACCCACCATAGCTAGAGGACACGGCTCTACTCGGCACGGGGTACTAGATACTGTGAGATACGCAAATACGAAATATCAGGGGCAATAAAGATCTGCAACAGAGGCACAGAATCAAAGCCACATTGTGTGGCATGGAGATGAACTCAGCTAGAGCCCAGTCCCGTCCGGTATGTGGTGAAGAACCTACACCGTATACGTAAAATCTTCAGTAGTGAAGCAAATCTTTTTCATTCCGGTTTTATGTCGCTAGGGATTCGTTGGTTTCCGAGATCTCCACCTTTCATCTGCCACATCACAGTTGGTGAGGGGCCTTACATTAGTTGGTGACTTTCTCTTGAATAATCTATTTGTAAGGCCCATAATCTTGGCAACTTACCATAAGACCACTCCTCTCGTATTTCGAATACTTGACACACGCCCACTTGCCGAAGTGTTCGTTTCTTCCCTTAATTCAACAGCCGATATCATTATACAGCAGTCTTCCTCTTAGGCTAGGAAGTCTTTGATTCACAGAATATTGGGTCTATAAAGCATCAAATCTCGGAACATCCGTGTCAGTAGCCAACCCTACGTTGCGATACACTGAAGTTGAACAACCCTAAAGCTAAGCACCAATGCCGCGTTCTTTTCTTGCTTAGTCTACGAGAAACTTTGGGCAAAGTTTGAGGGGACCGATGCTCCTAGAACCAGTTCAGCGATAATGTAGCAAGTATAAAGATAGTAATACCACCCCGATCTAATTCGAATATTCTTCAGTTAATCTCAAATAGAAGACACCTTTGAAGCCCAACGAAGATACGAAATCTGTAGGATGACCGATCGCTAAGGCCCTAAACCAAATAGGGGCGAGTGCTCCCCACCTCGAAAGCATCCTACGCGTTAATGTACTCATCTCTGGGCTCTGGAGCTGAAGAAATCCCAGAAGTGCTAAGCGAGAAGCAAGTATGCGGATCTTCGCCTCTTTGTGGTAAATTGGGTCGGATCTTCGAAGCCCCTTTCATTAAAAATGGTATTTAGTTGAATTATCCACATCTAGCTCACAGATTCTTTCAAAGGTTCACTTGTTGGGTAAATATCGGAAGTTCTGTGTAGGATTCTAGATCTACTCCTGATCAAAAATTCCATCTCATAAGGTCACGTCCAGAATCAAGTAGCCGATGCTTTCCTTTCTAAATCAGACTTCTCTTACCGACATGTAGTTTAGATGGTGTCTTTCTTCATACCTACGTAGTTTCAGCTTCTGGCTTGTCTAGAAATACAGAGATAGGCGCTGAGGGTAGCGTAGGCTGTGAGGTACTGAAGCTGTCAAGCTCTAGCTAGGGTAATGCCCCTAATCGCCCGTTTCTCTCCTTTGAATCGCGTTGCTCCCCAAGGCATCGTCGAAGCAATGATTTATAGATCTCTAGCTGTTGGAGAATAATAAAGAATGTTTCTAGTCGCAAAGCTGGTGGCGCCAGAACTCTGTAGCTGAAGCTTATTGTAATGTCCATGTCGTAGTAAGCGAGAGAGCTATGCAGTTATGCGGCAGCTGCTGGACAAAAAAGGGGGAGGGGGTTTCTCAAATACTAAGAATTTAATAACTTGACACCATATCCAGTATCTCAATACATTAAACTTTAGCCTTTTTGCCCCGCTATGAGGCCTGTGCCCGGCCGCACATAAAGATCAACACCACAGGCTGTGCCCGGCAATGACTCTTTAATGGCGACCGCAACCGCCGCTGCCTCTAGCTGCTTCGCTAGAAGGCGTGAAGGCAGCTGCTGAGATTGCCTAGGTTGATAGAATTACATACAACTGGGGAGGAAGGAGGAAGGAAGGGAGATAGATAGCTAGGCCAGTTAAATATAAGCCCACTGTCTCTCCCAAACACACGAACGTACACACATACACTTGTCCTCGTAGCCCCCCCTGTCCCTAAGATTAAGGACCGAGGCAGTCTTACCCTTTTACTGAAGAATTGGAAGCTTGTATTTGACATATCCACCGACCTTCAGCGAAGCCTCCGATCTGTCCAGCAGGTCCAAATACTCGGGCACAGTGCACCGTCAAGCCAGGTGGTCAGAATACAGCCTCAGCGTGCCCTCAAGTCCAATCAACTCGTCTGCAATCCCGAGACCAGCGACACTGACAGTTCTCTCCGGCTCAAAGCCGTGTTGGTTCGGGTACTCCTCGCTGAAGCGAAACTGCGCGGAAAGCTCGACCGCTACCTGCCCCATCAACGCTTCCGCCGACTTGTTGGTCAGCTCAACGTACACAGCTTCCTTCCCAGACACCTTCTCCCAAATCTTCAAGGCATCCTCGTGACTCAAGTACTCTGTCACTAGAATCACAATTTTCCCGTGTGTCTGAGCAGGCTTTTGGAGGATCTTGTCCACTGTAACGCCGACATTGTGAGAGATGTTGCCCGCGATGGGGATGACGCCTTCGGGCTTGCTTGGGCTGGCCCAAATGTATTTGCCGACAGCGGGCTGCGGAGGCAGTCAGCATCAGAAAATCCAACATGCCACGGCATCTATGAAGTGTTGCTCACCCAGAACAGCGGCTTCACAGTAGGAATCAACGCCATGTTGCTTGCGTAATACCCGACCCAAAGTATCGTAGACTTGGCAGCCAATTCCGGGTACTGCGCTTCCACCTCTGCTACTCCGCGAGCCTTGTAATCCAAGTGAGGCACCTTGTGCTTGCCACTCGATACCTTCTCGGCCCAAGGCAAGCTGCTGATGACGAGGTGCTTGAGAGTGGACACACGCGATGCTGCCTTGCCAATGTTAAGGATCTGCTGGTATTCCTGTTGGCCTCTCTCATTGAGGCTAATAGGGTCCGTGAAAGGTGCTGCCCTGTTATCGAGAGTCAGCCTTGATCTTCCTTTCAGTACTTCCTTCTCGATACGTCTTCCCACACAAATTCTTCATCCGGTAATAAACACCTACCAGAAGTTGGTAACGGCAAAAATAGCAGTGGATCCTTCAAATGCAACCTCCAAAGATTTCGCATCGTCAAGGTCCGCCTGAACAACTTGAATGCCCTGGGACGAGAGCTCTTTGGCGGACTTTCCTTCGGGATTGCGGGTGACGGCTCGGATCTTCCACGACGAGTTGGCCTTTAACTTCTGGACGACAGAACCGCCTTGGAGGCCAGTGGCACCGAGGACTGTGATTATGGACATGATTTGAGTTATGATTGCTCTTTGAACCGGTGACTTGGTCTTTTCTTGATGGCCTTAGACGGGTTATCGTCGCAATATTGCTTCTAACGAACAAAACCGAAGTCTATCATCTTCTTTATATACTAGCCGTCGATCTGTTGTCTCCCACTTTCACGACGTATCAATTGCTCTAGTATTATTAATTCTATCAAATTATGCAGCGGTAGTAATCCTCGGTCTCGGCATTCCGCGGCATTCCGGTTGGTCTTAACACCCAGGTGGGTGGGCAGTCTTCGGCGCGGACTTTGTTGGAAGTCCGAGACTTTATCTAAGTATGTAATTCCCGCCTGAAATATTATTCTTCTCTATAATATCTAAGCTTTAATAAATTATATACAAATCGCTCTAATAGTAGCTCAATCCTGGTTGCCAATCGCAGCAAGCGATGCAATTATACACACGTTCGGGTCGGCCGACTTTCGTGGAAGGGGAATGAAGTTGACGGTCAAAGAGTATACAGCCATGACGTTGACTATCTTATGTAAGTAAACCTTTCTTGTGCTTTGGGGAGGGGGATATAGTTGTCGACGTACTCTGGTTGCTACGATCGAAATCCTCCCTAAAACCAACCAGTCATTGTCATAGTCGACAGGTAATGTGCGCATTTTTCAACTCTATTGATGAGGAGATTCTCAACTTGGTCGACTGCAAGATGTTAGCTGATACACTCTCAAATATTCGAAAGGCTGATTTCTTCATATACTTATCATTGTTGTGATCGTCGGCAAGGACCCTCTACGGGCTGTTGACGCCGGCGTAGTTGATAACTGCATCGATTTAGAATAATTGTCACAGATTAGGCCAACCAGGCAAAAGGAAATCCTTAGCCCAGCTTCCACGGAATACCCTTGTATAGCTCCGTCATAATAATGTAAGCTTCTATGCTTGACTTTCATATACGGTAAGGTTTGCACCATGCTGTTGGAATGATGGGCACAGAGACATACGTGTGACTCTTTCGTCTAGATAGCCTCGACGATCTCCTGTCAGCTTGTCTTTGTCTGTACATCGCCCTGGGGGCTGTAAGTCAACGTTGGCTTCGGATTTGAAAGGCTCACCAGGTATGGGAGAACACACGTGTGAATGTCTCCGCCATTCTGGCTTGCTGCAGTATCCAGGGTATCCTGTCTCCAACAATCCCCGCACTTCTCGATGTCGGCTTCGGCTCAAGAATCGGAGTGTCGGATATGCCCAACAGCATCGCCGCCTGAATCAGTTAGCATAGCCGATCGCTTAATAGAGCCCCGGTACGTGGCATCGCCTGAGATCCTTTGCAAGATCAAACGACTCGGGCATGTCAGCTTTTGTATGGGGGAGGCAGGGATTTTACAATTCATATTGGCTTCTGGCGATGACTTCGACAAAAAATCGAGGGGTAATAAATACGGAGTCAGGGTTCAATAGGCAGGGATAACCCGCTGAACCACGTCCTCATTTGAGCCACATCCTCAATCTGAGACTAGAAAAATTGAAAGTTGAGAACGCTGCAAGGCTTCGTTCGCCAAAGATAGGATACCACCACTATTGATAGTTGACGGTTAATTCCTACCCGGAGGCATAATCTAATGAAGCGATGGTAATGACTAGAGATAGAAAGGCCTACATCGCGCGCGGTCCCATCGGTATAGACAAATCACGATCCTCCCTCGCCTTGGTTTGCGATTCATAGGAATAGACAAGTTTAAACAGCCAACGATAGTAAATTCAACTAGACAGATAAGAGACAGCTACTATCCAAGCCCTAGACGGTCACGTTCTTTCCCTGCAGATAAAATACGGCCCGGTAGACATCTCCTTTACCGTTCTGGAAGTTGCTAGACCAAGTACCGGAATCCCTTCACGGTGTTCAATGCTTCATTTGATGCATCTTGGGCCGCGTCAGTGCCATCTCCAGCCTCGCGGGCCGCCAACTTCTTGTTCAGGCTCGCGAGCATCAAGCGGAAAATGAATAGGCAGACGATGGTGGCTCCAAACATTGACAGAGTGATTCCATAGCTCTTGCGGTAGCCGTTCTCCGGCTGATTCCAAATATACGAGCCCGCCACGTTGCCTAGTTGGCAGAAGGAATTGACGAGGGCGATGGCAACAGCACGCTTCGCTGGTGGTCGAGGGAACGAGGAGCTGACCCAGGAAAACAGAAGAATCCAGCCCGAGTATGAGCTTGCTTGCAAGAACAGCGAGACGTAGCGAGCAGCGGTGTTGAGAGTTGCCATGCTGAGGATGAAGCCAACACAGCCACCGATCAGAGGGCCGGCGGTATGCCAAAACTGATGGAAATTAGTCTTTCGCTACATGCTAGACGCAAAACTGGAAGGGCTTACCTTTTCTTGCGTGCGATCGGCATGCCACGCGTTGATTAGCGAGACGATTGAGGCAAACACCCAAGGGGGTGCGCTCATGAGCAGAGTTGGCACATAACTGTAACCAAGGGTTTGCGTGAGGGTAGGCTGAGAACGGATTAACACCAGCCAGACTAGAAATGACGGATAGTACTTACAAAGAACGCGTTGAATGTAAGGCCGCAGACAAAGAGGAAGGAAGCTAGGATCATGACGTAGATCTTCGGATCTTTGAGGCACATGATGAGACCGGTAAAGACGCCGTCATGCTCCGAGTCGACGTCTTCCTCGCCGACATCCTCAATCATCCGAATTTGCGCCACACGCAACTCATCTTCACTAAATCCTCGAGTGTTGTGGGGGAGATCAGGCAGTATGAAAGCGGCCGCCAAGGCAATGACACATGTTATGGCACCTGAATATCCTGGTTAGCACACCCAAAATACGGCACCGCAAAGATGTTTGCCCAAGATGGCCGGCAATATGACCGTACCTTCAATCCAGAACAGCCATCGCCACGACTCGTGACCAAGAACTCCTTTCATGTTTGGCAAGATGGCGGCGCCAACCAATGCCGAGAACGCGTTCGCAATCAGATTCCCGCAGAAGAGGATCGCGTTCCGCTTGGTTAACTCCCGCCTAGTATACCACTTCGACAGGATGAGAAGGGCACCAGGTAGGAAGACAGCCTCGATGATGCCGAGGATGAAGCGTATCATGACCATGCCGGCAAAGTTTTGAACGTTGCCCGTCAGGGTGGAGATGGTGCCCCAGATGAACATGGCGGCAGAGATGTAATAACTCGGACGAGAGATCCTGTTGATGTAGATATTGGACGGCACTTGCGTCAGGACGTATCCGACGTAGAGGATGCTTAGACAGGTAGCATATTCCGTGTTATTCATTTTGAGATCGTCCTGCAGACCGCCCAGCCGAGCGGCGGCAATGTTGTTGCGGTCGAGGTAGTTCATGATGTAGATGACAACGAACAGGCCACATCGTAGATCAAGCTTAGTTTTCAGTCGCTTTTCAATGGTAGCTCGCTCGTTGGGGTCCACGGCCAAGTGCGCCGGGATCATAGGTACCTCCAAGTCGGGCGCGTCCACATGTTCGGCGACTGATGCTTTGATGTCCAAGGACGACTTGTCCTGTGGTTGATCTCCAGACATGGCGAGACTGTGAGCTAGCTACAAAGCCAGCAATGCACTCTGTGTCTATGTCAAATGAAGACGATCACAAATAAACGCCACAGACTGTCTGTTTATATGATTTCTCGTTCCATCGGCAACCTGTCTCTGGACCCCTCTTGAACCCCAGACCCCAGACATCCCAAGCCCCGAGGGGACCCCGGATTTCCATCCTCCACACGCAGAACTGCAGGGTGTAGTGGCCATTCTCGCACCAATATAGCTAGCGTTGCCGATGGGAGCCCATGGGAATAATGTAATGGGAATAATATGATGAGGACAGGGAACATCGATCTTCAAGAGACTGACCTTATTGAAGATCATCCATGTCGGCCACCAACATTATCCGATCGGCTACGCTAACCACATCTATCGTGGATGAGGAAACGCTCCAGTGAGGACTTGACTTCGTTATCGGCGCTGTAATGATAAAAGAGGTAGAGGGATGTGTGACCAGATTGGGAGCACGGAATGCACGTCTTATTGTCGATCTGCCGGGTCTCTATCAGTCTCTCATATATCCCAAAATGAAGCTCCTCCTACCTACGTCAATAGACCTTGATGTCCAAAGTCTCAAGGGTTTCGCCGTCACAATCCATCCATACGACGTCAAGGTTCCAATTCCAGAGGAGCATGTGGATGCCAATATCATCGTGACCTGGATCAACAGTACCGAGAACTTGCGAGACGCCGCCAAGCGCCTGAAGAACCTGCGATGGATCCAGGCACTGGCTGCTGGGCCAAACGATGTTCTCGCAGCTGGCTTCGACCCGTCGACAACTGTCATCACCACTGGCTCGGGTACGCACGACGACACGGTGGCTGAGCATACCCTGGCCATGCTTCTGAGCGGCACGCGGAAACTGTATGAGATGAGAGACTATCAGTCGCGGTCTGAATGGCCGGGCCATCTTGGAGGGTCGTATCCCAGAGCCGGTGAGCTCACCACGCTTCGCGGCGCCCAGGTACTGATCTGGGGTTTCGGAGGGATCGCCAAGACTCTCACGCCGCTGTTGCATGCTGTTGGTGCCCAGGTTCGCGGGGTGGCCAGGACGCCCGGAGTGCGCAGCGGCGTCGAGGTCTTGAGCGAGGACAAACTTCCCGAGCTTCTTCCCCAGACAGATGCCCTGGTAATGATCTTGCCTGGTTCAGAGTCCACACGAAACGCTCTGAACGCCGAGAGGTTGAAGCTGTTGCCCCGTCATGCCTGGGTTGTCAACGTCGGTCGGGGTATCTCGGTAGATGAGGATGCGCTGGTCGATGCTCTGGAGGCGGGCGAGATTGGCGGTGCTGCACTCGATGTCTTTTCACAAGAGCCATTGCCAGCGTCGAGTCGACTGTGGAAGGCGCCCAATCTCACGATATCGCCGCATGCTGCTGGAGGCAGACCGAGTGGCTGCACGGACTTGATTGCTGAGAATTTGCGGCGCTTCCTGGCGGATCGCCCGATGAAGAATGTGATTTAAATAGGCTTGATGTTTAGAATTCAAGACAAGCGTGCCGTTTAATCCGGCGATACGTTTCAAATGTCTAGTAATTGCCCTCACATTAGAAGGACTGTCCGGGTTGGCTCATGCTCCTCACAGACGGGTGTCTCCTTTCCAGATTCTTTAACCTCAGCCCAAATGATAAGCTCTCAGTCTTCTTCCAACTGGTAGCGATGGTTTGGGCCCGCTCGGAGGTTGCATTTCTGCGAAACTGGTCGATCTCGGGCGGATCAAATCCCCATATTGAGGACATATCACTAATCTGACCTGCATCGGTTCGGCCCGGTGCTACTTGTACTTCTTGTCCGGCCGTTGTCCGAACAAAGAGATACATTAAAATATTGTTTCACTTCGGTCCCGGAGTTAAAAATTTCCTCAAACTGATCGCTCTCTGAATAGGGAAATGCCCGGTATCATCGTAGCCTCCGCCACCAACCAGAGATATATTTTACTATTGCTTTGACTCCTATCATTTACGGTAGAAATTGAAACATGATAGAATATAAATATCTAACCATCTCGTCTCGACGTGCCAAGGTCAAACCCCCTATAGCTACATGCGTCCCTACGGTAGTGTAAGCAAATCAGCATTGACAGAAACAAAATAAATCACCACCTCGCGGTCGCAATGAGCTCGGAAGTTCAAGTGGAAGTCGCCATCATCGGCGCAGGCGTCGCAGGCCTTACATTGGCGAACATGCTTGAGCAGGCCAACATCTCTTACTTGGTGCTTGAGAGCTATCGTGCTATCGCACCACCCGGGGCCGCAAGTATCGGTCTGATGCCCAACGGACTTCGCATTTTGGATCAAATTGGCGTGTATGAAAAGCTGATGGAGCATGCCGTGCCGCACGACTACTTCGAGCACCGTGATGGAGACGACGGTACGCTCTATGGAGTGATGACAGCAGGGCGATACTTGCCACCTCTGTACGTGAGCGGAATATTCACACGTGAAAAGCAAAGCTGATTATTATTTTTTGCTACTAGTCTTGGATACTCAAGCCACGCAATCCCTCGGCAGACTTTATTGAAGATTCTGTACGAAAATCTGCCTGACAAGTCCAAGGTGCGGGCTTCAAGCAGAGTCTCTAAAGTTGAAACCTCCGAGACCAGCGCCGTTGTCACCACAGAAGATGGGTTCAAGATAACCTGTGATGTTGTCGCAGGTGTTGATGGGGTTCATAGCGCGGTGCGTCGTGAGATTGAAGCCTATGTGGGTGTCACACCTTCTCCAAGCTGTATGTTTCTTGTCCTACTTGTCATGTTCGATTATCCAACATCCCGCTAATCCTGACCTACTTAGATCTTGCATCTAGGTCTGCATGCGTATTCGGCTGCTCCAATCGCATTCCTGGCATCACGGGTGGCCAGTTCTTTAACAGCCACCGCAAAAACACTGGCCTCTTCATTCTCACCGGAAAGGATGACACGCCATACTGGTTCTTGTTTGATGACTTCAAAGAGCCCATCAAATACAAAGAGACACCCAAGTACACTCCGGAATATGTCGAAGCGCTCGCCGAGAAATCCAAGGATATTATCATTATACCTGGCGTAACTTTTGGGGATCTGTATGCCCACAGGAGAGATATTACCACGGTATCTCTTGAAGAGGGAATTGCCGCCGTATGGCATGCCGGCCGTATGTTTCTTGCAGGTGACTCTTGTCATAAGGTGAGTGTTCTACGCTCCACAGACTATATGGTCACGAATGACTAACCTACCTACTTTAAGATGGTCCCTAATGGTGCAATGGGCGGGAATCAAGCTATTGAGTCAGTAGCTAGTTTTGTCAACCACTATCGACGACTCCGCGTCCGTTATCCAAACCAACCTATTCCTTTAACCGATCTGAATGCGGCACTTGAAAGCTACACCAATGAGCGTCGTGGGCCGGTGACACAGCACGTGGAAAAGTCATGCTTCCTTCGCGATGCCCTTCTCAAGCGTGGGCCCAATGCTGAAGGTTATCTTCAGGGTTTGTCCAAGGGCAACATCTGGGAGGGGCTAAACAAACTTGCCGAGCCTATGAGCCGGGCTATTGTGCTTGAGGACTGGCATAATAAGACCCAGAGAGCTGAGTTCTACAAGAGACAAGCAGCTAAGATGCGAGATGGTCTAGCTATACGCTCGATCCTTGAGGAAGGTGAAGTTAAGGGATAAACGAAGGGGATTCTAGAGCCCTAGAACGATGGGATAAATGGACTCGTCAGTTTTCTTCGTTAAGAAAATAACAGAACTCGCAACTCTTGAAGCCCTGCCAAATTTGCGTCAGAGGTTCAGAGTCATACAACCCTCCCCGTGTACTATAAATCGAAACAGGCTCTTTCCTTTTTCACCAAACATATGCACATATTGAAGCAACCTTGCTTAAAGCTCTGCGTCTATTTCTATATCTTGCCAAATGCTGCTTTCTATACGTCGTGATGACTATCGTTTCCATTATTCTGGGATGTGCCTCGGTCTTTCACCTGTTGGAAGCGTGTCCCACTGTCCGTCATCCAACTGCCATCGCTCAATACACGCACTTTGAACCACAGCTGGTAATAGAGTCTTCGCAGCGTCGAACGTGAATACCCTCCTTCATCCCAAGTAATCCCAAGGCTGCGCTTCTTGGCTTCTGTGAAAAGAAACTGCCGGACAGCCTCGTGACTGTCGTCGATAACATGTTCTACTTTTAGATATCCCGGTCTTAGATGTCTTTCATTTCTGCTCACATCTTGGGACTTCAATTCGTCAAGGAGCTGTGCAATGGCGGCTTTGGCCTCGTCTACTGTATCATTGCGCACGTTTTGGAGGTGGAGCAGGCGGGTAGCAGTCTCGTCAGCGGAGACGCAGAGTATAATGTCGCGATCGCCAGTATCGACCCTGACAGATTTCCGGCCAGAACCCCTAAAAATAAGCGTGTATGAAGAGCTCTTGAACGGACCCTCATCGTTGTCAATCCAGAGATCCTTGAGCACGCTTTCATCCATCTTGTAGATAATATCGCAAGCAAGATATATTCTGGGATGTGGACAGTCGATATTAGGAAATGCCTAGTAGACATCAATGAGAAGGGGGTCAGTTGTAGTGTACATCGAGTCACTGTAATAAAAGTCGGTATGGCGGATTGGTTTTTCTGAGTTGGCTCTCAGTACACTTATTTATCGCCTCCACTTAACAGCTTGGGTACCTCCAACCAGGCTGAGTAAGCCTAAGTTTATTTCTGTGCTATGCCTCTACCAGCCATGATAGAAACCCAGGTAACATCATCTCGATTTACCTAAGCCAGAGGTCCGTGGTGCTTAACCATAAGGCTATTTAGGTATCTTGAGAGTTTAGTAAGAACAAACACTATAGGTTTGCGTCTTAAAAAACATAAGCTATATATCAAAAGCTGTCGTATGGAAACGTACCCTACATAAGTATATTAAACCTCTCATAAGATTACACTGGGCTAAGGCCTCATAAATAAGAACCACGGCTAGTGAGATCTGGGGACTATTCCTATTGTCGGAGAGCCTGTAACTTGCCGGTATATCTTTTCCTGTTGACCATCGATATCCACGTTCTTGCAGACCGCCCGATGGGTCAAGCCAGCTATGTGGAGTGGAATAACGCTTGCTCTGGATTGCTTCTTGGGTGAGGCTATCTTGCGATGAAAGCCCTTGAAGTGATCCTGACATGTATGTTGAGTGGACATACCTCCCCCCTGAGCACTTGGTATCAACAAGCGCAATTTGAAGACGACAGCAGCCATTTCCGCTGCTATATGTCATCATGAGAGATTCTCCGCAAAGTCTCATAGTAAATTGTTGACAAATGTATTAATCATGTTTGCTGTCGGACTTGCATTCGGTTAATTGTCCAAATTAGTCGTGTCATGCGGTGCCGTGACACTTGGCAGGGCCTTACTCAGATCAATCTAACTATCTTATATTTTATTCCGCGTGTAATTATGAACTTGGTTGGTCAAATAAGCCAGAGTCACAGGTTGAAGGCTGTAATACACGAACCAGTAGCCAGAAATACCACAAAAAACCCTCAATGCTTCGGCGGCATTTCTATAAGACTGTTTATTTTACGTTTTGGGCCTGTACGCGTCACATGTGTTCAGCTGTGTCCGCTTTCAGCACCAACGGCATGAAAAGTTGGCTGGGGTATCGGAGCTGGTGACATTTGTGTGTGTCAGATCGGGGACTTCTGCAACATTATCTTCGCTAAGCGGGAGTCGGTGCCCGATTTGAAATCAATGCAGTGGACATGATGCAATCAGGCGATAAATCAGCCTACCGCCCAACACTGCACCGGCATTCGCTTGACGAAGGGAGGGGGCAATGGCAACACAACCTCAAGCTAGGTGCGGAGTTGCTGCGGAGGAGGCAACTCGTCATTGGACAACGCTCCGCCAATATTGATATAAAAGGGCCATCTCATGGACGAGAATGAAATCTTCAGTACTTGGATCATAATCAATAGTCAAAACATCACAATATCCCTCATCCTTATCCTCTCACACCATGACTACTCAGAAGATCAAGGTCGCTGTCACTGGCGCAACTGGCGAAACTGGTGTATCAATCATCAAAGCCTTGCTTGAGAGCGAAGAGTTTGTAAGTCCTGGCATATCTGAGGATCATATTCGCCGCTAATAATCACAGGCCGTCACTGCGTATGTCAGGCCATCCTCCACCGAGAAGCCACAGCTTCAAGACTTCAAGGAGAAGAAGGTGCCAATCATTCCTCTTGATCTCGAGGCGGCGCCGCTCGAGGAAATCGTCAAGGCCATCCAAGGGCAAGACATTATCATCTCTGGTGTTATGCCACATACCTCTGATATCGAGAAGAAGCTCGCAAATGCAGCGAAAGAAGTGGGCGTGAAGAGGTTTATCCCTAGTTTCTTCGCACCTCTTGCCCCTCCAACGGGGGTGAATATTTTGAGAGAAATTGTAAGATTGAGAGAAAAAGCCTATACTATGACAACGTTTGCTAATTACGCATATAGAAAGAGGAGGTTATTAACCATGTCAAGAAACTCCATTTGCCCTACACCGTCATTGATGCTGGTGGATGGTATCAAGTATCCCTCCCCAACCCTCCTTCAGGCAGGCTCGACTACATGACAAAGATTCCCTCCAACGCACAATACGGAGATGGGCACTATTCTACTTCTGTTGTTGATATAGGGGATATTGGCAAGTATGTTGCGCTCATTATCAAAGACCCCCGCACACTGAACAAGTATGTCTTTGTCTACAACGAAGTGTGGACTCACGATGCCATGTTCAAACTGGTCGAGGAGCTGAGCGGAGAAACTGTTGAGCGTCAGATTATCCCAGAGGAATCACTCGAGGCGGGAATCCAAGAAGCCAGCAAGGCATATAAACAGGACCCATCTTACAAGAATTTCGTCTTGTTGCTCGTCCAGCAGTACGCGAATCAGAACTGGGTTAGAGGTGATAACCTGCCAGAAACTGGAACATATCTTGGCTACCTACTTTCCAAAGATCTGTATCCAGACTTCAAGTTCGTGGGTTTAAGGGATTTCGCCAAAGAAGCTCTGGATGGCAAAGCACAGCCCGTGTATACAACAAAGACCTTCGACTTTTAGAGCGGTTAAGCTATATACTACGAGTAGATTATTGTAAGTAAGACTAGCAGTAACGAAATCTAAATAAACCTTGCTTTTTATGATGAGTTATATAATACTAAGAAATGCCCTTCACTTATTATACAAGATGCGGTATAGAAATAGCAAAATATAGAACAACTTCCGGTTGGCAAAGCTATTTAGAAAAATGAAGAGGTCCATCCGGTTGAATTGTTTTATCACTAATGGAAACTATGCTTGAAAGCCTGTCCTCCAGCTAGACCTAGTCAAGCGTGGTCAATCTTGGAAAAACCCGTCATTCCATTCAACAGGGCTGCCGTGTATAGATCCAGAATGGCTGCTAGCTGAGCCAAAACTTTCAATGCTTCTTCGTTTTCTCGGTATTGCGTTAAGGTATGACCCGTAAGTAAGTTCTTCTACATTTCTACCCTTCCAAGTATAGGTAGCTCTACCGCCCGACCGCGTTTCAGGGGTTTCAAGATTATCCACCGGTTCAGGTTCGAGGGTTTCGACATTATCTACCGGTTCAGACTCCCCGAATAGCCGAGGAAAGGTTTTCTTGAAGTCCTTTATGATGGATTCACAAAGGCGCAATCTATCATCGACGAGGTGAGGACAACTCAAAGCAAGCCGCCTGTATTTCTGTTCAGAATGAAATTTGTCGAGAAGCTCTTCTGTATTCGGAGACAGTGTTCCAACTTGGGATAAAAGGATATCTGCGACCCACGAAACAAGGCCAAGTCGACTGGCATATTCCAAAATCCGGGAATCAAAGGGGATATCTTCCCTCAAGGCTTTTAAACGTGACCACGCATTTAGATTCAAGAGTCTATATAGAATCTCGTGACAGTTTGTATACGGCAAATCAGCGAATTTAGCATGGGTGAAAAACTCTTGCGTCGCATATGAAAGCAGGGCTGGATGATCTTCCAGAGTTTGGGATTGCCCAGATATTGAGGAATTTGCAACAGAGAGAGCCGGGGCTCCGCTAGTTGAAAGATCGTCCCGTTCGGATTTGTTCGTCGACATCCAGAGATGGATGTCTATCGGGGAAACCTGGACCTGCATCATTCCGAAGACTTTCCGAGTCAACAATTTTCTATTTACCACGTGGGTGTCAAGCTTCCGCGGCTTCTGAAGACCACTAAGGCTCGAACTGTCCATTGGGGCGTCTTGGGTCCACGGTTCATTCGTCCCCAACTCATGGCTTGCTTCGTCAGGCCGCGACAAAGCCTGTTTAGTAGAGCTCCTTCGATCAACCGGGGGTCTTTCTCTACGTTTTCGTGCGTCCACAAGTGCATCGAGTTCGTGGATATGAATATAGTTAAGGCATGTGTTCATGATTTCCATGTGCGCGTAGCCGACAGGATTAGAAGGGTGGTTTGGGTCCAGTAACGCAAACCCATTCCCGCGCAGGAAAAAACCACGTACTGATTCATGGATGACTTGAACGACCCGAGTTCCACCTGAATCGAGGTTGAGTGAGCCTGCCCCAGCGTGCAGGGACAACGAGTCAAACGCTACTCCTTGGGGTTCGTCTGCTGCTGTCCGTCGTACTTCAACCAGCCCCTTTGAAAGACTTCTAATTTGTTTCTCCAATTGATCATCCGTCTTGGTACAATGAATATTGCTTCTCCATTCTGATAGCGAAGACAGGGATGGGAATCGAATGAAGGCTAAAATATGATGCCACTCATGCAGTCGAAGAGGGGAGACCGAGAGTATTGCCCATTGAAAAAGACACAACGCAATGCGTTTTTCTTCTGCGCTAGAAAATTGGAGTAGGGCTTTGAACATGCTCTCAAGGGGCCTGGGGACCGCGTGAACTTTGTCAAGCAAGTAAATATAATCTTTTCCCTCATCTCGGTTGCGAAGGACTTCTTCAACGATCAAAACGACCCATAAGAACACGCCGCTCGACTTTTTAAATATGACCTTCTTCAAGATTTCCTCTTGACCCGCTTCGTAAGACCGAAGTATTGATATGGGAGTAAAGGCGTTGGAAGAATCCTGAGTTTCGCCTTGGTGCACAAGTCCAAACCTGTTATTGATATACTGATGAATATCTTGGTGGTTGTTGCCCTCCATGATGATCTCAGGGCAGTCTGCCAAATCAACGTTTGGGAAATGCCTACTTGATAGACAGACCCTCAATTGAGTCCCTCTGGTTCGGGCCTCGGCGGTAATTTCACGCCAGAAATAGGCTTGGTCCCGCATACTCGTCGAATCACATTCGTCAAGAGCGTCAATATACAGGATAATTGGTGTTGAAATGTCTTGAGAAACGATATGCCGAAAGAAATGTTTCAGTTCGTGGGGTTTAGAAAGCATAGACTCAGTTGTAGTGGACTCTTCTTGGAGTTTCTCACACCAGAGCAAAACTAACTTGTCACTCTTCACTAACAACTGATGCAGCAAGGAGCGGAAAAGGATCGACTCCGAACACGGCAATTCGGTCCCTCTAGAATCAAAAAAGAACGCCGCCGCCAAGTGTTTGGACATTTTCTGGTCCCTAACCGCGTGACGAAAGGCCTCTTTCATCAAAACCGACTTGCCTGCTCCAGGTTTCCCTTTGAGCCATAGAAGCCCGGATTGGTTATGAGCACTGGGTTCACCGTACCAGTCCTGATATAACTGGTGGTTGAATAACCACGAGCATGTGGTATCCGCCGGGTGCGCGATGTCCTGGTACCTCGAATGCATCGCTGGGGACCACAACAAATCGAGCGTGGAATTCTTCAGTGGAAGGAATTTTTCCTCATCAAAAGGCCTGGAAGTCGACTTCTTTCGCTCTGTCGAAGGGCCAGCTCTGAGAGGTGGCTGCGAATTCACAATTACTAATGACCGATACAAAAAGCCTAGTTCCCCGCCAACTTTGCGGTAGTTTGGATCCTCAAGCCCGCTGTACCGAGACATGTCTTTATGATTTGCTTGAAGTGTTTCAGCCCGTTCACGAACATCTCCAATCAGCGATGAGTGGTCAGGCACAACCTTGTTTCCAAGGGGGCCAAACCCGATACCAGTCATACTCAGGCTCTCTTGAAACGTCTTGACTCGAAAGTCATACTTATTCCAGACTGAAGAGAAGGCTTCCTGTGCTCGTTCTAGATCCGTAGTCTTTAAGCCAAGAGCGTCAAGATTTGTTGCGGTAGTCTCCATTCCTAGGCCGTTGACGATTGAGCGGAGATATTCTCCAATGGCTGCGAGTTCGGGGCTGCCTCTATGGGGAGTTCCAAGAAAGATAATGGCCGCGGTGGACTCGACAATGTTGCGAAGGTCGTCCTCCGCTGATAATGATGATCGGCCGAGCATCTGCAGCGAATTAGCAAAGCAAAATCTCAGTGACAGTGGAGAGCCTCACTTCTTTGACAACAATGCCACCTAGGCTGTGGGCAACGAAAACGAGAGGCCGGTTGTAGACCCCATGTCGAGCAAGGGAGAACAAGAGGTCTTTGCTGTGAGATAGCAAGCTGTTTTTATTTGTGGCGCCGGATGTGTACTTGGTTATTTTGGAGTCATATCCGTACATTAACACTCTAGAATTCGGGCATTCCAGAGGCAGTAAGTCTGCTGGCCAAAAAAGAGCCTCCAGAACACTCTCTGTGTCATCTACTTCGCTTAAGCTAGGCTGGGATGCCGGTTCTGGCGATGTCTTCGATGACGACCTTCCGAGACGTGCTAGAGCACGGCGGATGAGATTTTCCCTCCCATCCTTGCCTGTATTTGAAGATGCCTTCCCCGCAGCAGCTGGGGATGAGGGTCTGCGCTTTTCAATAGACTTAGTCCATGACTTGTAGGGGTGGCCATGGAGCCCATGGACGAAGACAAAGCTATGCAACAAGGGTCAGTAATTTGATACATGCCTTCTCATTATAATTTGCTCACTCAACGATCGGTTCGACATTTTCAGGCTCGTACGCCACCGATGTTCCGGTATCTAGAATGCAATGCTTCATTTCTGGGAGATGCGGGGTGGAAGTACTGGGATTAGAACAGCTGAGATAATTTCACCACACTGGTAGGTAGCCATTTGACATAAGCATGCAGCTTGCACCGCCACTTTGCCACGTATTTCGATACAAGTGGTATTACTGTCTTGACGCTGATGAGAAGCAGCCAGTAAAAGGAAGCCCAACAAGGCCCAACCAAGATCTGTGCACTGTTGGGGTTAAGAGACTGCTGGAGCCCATGAGGTTACGCCTCAAGTACACATTCATAGCTGCACGGCCTTTGCTCTTTTTTGTCTACCTATCTTGGCTGTCGCTAATGATTTGATTACCCGTAGATTCTTCCTTCATGGATGAAACGGTGGATGTTGGTTCGAGACATGGGTGTGGCAGGGCCGCGAGCAATTTCTGGGCGGCTTCAGCCCAGCCTCACCCAACATAGTCCGCTGAATGCGCCATGTCCCTACTAGCATAGTGGTTCTCGAAGCCTTCAGCCCTCTAGGTCATATAGAAATGACGGTCGTTATTACTGACGGTGAGGATGAATCATATCGAGAACTGAGAAACTAAACTGAGGTCCATCATGACGCTTCATCCATGGCCAACGTTTTAAGAATTATGTGACGGAAGGTTAGATACTTCCAATACCCAGCTAGCTGTTCTCTTCCCCCCCCCCCCAAACACCGAGCTGAGAGATGTTGTTGAAAGGGTGAAGATCCGAGGGGGGGTTGAAATTATTTATTCGCTGACGCTGGCTGCACAGCAATTTTAACTCCATCCGGACGGTTGTCAAGCTGATGGGACTTGTCTGATCCCTACAAAAGTGGGCAAGCTCTAGATGTATGCTTATAACTGTGCTTCTGGCAAATTTAGAATAATCGCACGCGTCGCCCATGAGAGAAATGCTGTCGGAATAAGATTTCATACTTGACGGACGGAGATGGGGTTGGTGCTAATAATGAACAGGTAGAGTTGGATGGTTGCTTTACTGGAAGCATCCGGGGTAGATTAAGTTACATGCTACCTTATGAATAAGTTATCATAAGACAAGCAGTGACTAAATCCAAACAAACCTTACTTTTCACTCATAAATCTATCATCCTGGGAAACACTCTTCAACCATTGCGCGAGATGTAGTACATAAAGAGCAAAGTATAGACCGTCTTTAGGTTCGTAAATATATTGCCATGTAGTAGAAACCTAGTGATAACCCCCGTGGCGAACTACTGATCGCTCAACAATCAATTAAATTGCATCGCCTTCCACCTCATATAATATTCTCGCGCCCATTAAGTATTTCTCCCTTTCAACTCAACACACCTCAACACAATAGACAGAGATACACCCACATGGCGGTGAACCAACTCTATCATAGAAAAGCCTAGACTCTCGGACATTACCCTCAAGGCAACTCCCCAACGTCTTTACACAACGCGCTGAAGCTGTTCGGGCGATTAGGCCCGGTGCTAAATATTCAGTGCTTTCGATGCTTGACACGCACGACTACACCCTCTTGTCGAGCAAAGAATGTGTTGCGAGTGTGCCACCGCGTCTTATCCTGGTCGTAAAACTCGAACCGGAAATTGCGAATAAGCTGAGGAGATAGCTTGTGCAATTCGATCATGGCAATGTTCTTTCCCAGGCAAGTGCGAGTACCACCACCGAAAGCCATCATATACTTGTCCATGTAATTGGCGCGGGCTGGATCCATCCATCGGTCCGGGTTGAAGTCATCGGCGTCTTGTCCAAACACTTTCTTGTCAAAGTGCATGACAGCGGCGTTGATTCCGACGACATAGCCTCCGGGGATGAACTGGCCGCAAAGATCCATACCTTCCGGGGGGACAGTTCGAGGTAGGGCTGTTTGCAAGTTAGATGGTGTCTCCATACAGTTGGATGTCGACCAGAACATCACTTACAAAGCTGTGCGCCAGGCCAGATGCGTAGAGCTTCCTTGATACACGCACACAGATACGGAAGCTGGCTTGCCTGCTTATAAGCGACGGGCATTGTCAGACGGCCCTCGTCCACTGCCTGGTCAATCTCGGTCTCGAGTCGGCTGCGGACTTCAGGATTGTGCATGAGATGGTAGAATAACGAGCGAAAAGCAATAGCGGTAGTGTCACTACCAGCGAAGAGCGCGCCGTATGACTCTTGTTCAACATCACCCCAGCGGTAGTCCACCTTCTCGCCGTTATTCTCATAGATAGCGAAAATTTGTTGGGCCATGTCCGTCCGGGGTGCTTCCAAGCGTGAAGCATAAGCCTCTTCCATGAGGCGTGCGGATGACTCGCCAATGTTTTTGCTAGTTGCCAATAGATCAGCGGCGTCCATGATAATCTCCAGGGTTGTAACATACACTCCCTTTGCAATCTCTTTACCAGCCTGTGACAACATACATCCCACGCCAAGAAGAGGTCGCAGAATTGGCGGAGCGACACCCATCAAACAAACAAACGGGATCATCTTATCCAACGACTTGATCCAGTCGTTTTGATCTTTACCTTCGTCGATGAACCCGAAAGCACGACCGTAGAAAAGCTCGCCGATAATGTCAAACGTGTACCTAGAGACAGTATAAGAAGGACTTGGCTCCATATCAAAGCTAAGAACAATGTAGAGGTTGATGCTCTCACCAGTGAAGCCATTCCCCGAGATCACAAGGTTTGCCAGAGTCTGCGAACTGACTCAGTCGTTCCGTCAGAAGATCACTGCAAGTGTCAATGTACTCTTCTGACTTGGCGACATTCGTCATGGAGTAGATGTTGCTGATAATTCTGCGCCTCTGGCCATGCTTCTTGTCGCTCTGGCAAGAGAAGATGTCGCCGTGCGGACTGAAACCGGTGGTGTTGAAAGGCTCATAGAACTGTGCTTTGTCCAATGCGTTGGAGAACCGATAGATGGCAGAAAAGGCTTCGGGGCTATTGAGAGTATTGTTACAGGCTAGGTACTCACACAAGATAGGAACGTGTGATGACTTACTCGGAGCATGATATCTCATTTGGTGCGATTCGGACCAGCGGGCCGTATTTGGCGTGAAGGGCTCTCTCGTCCTTCTCGACATCCTCCGTCCAGATCTTGCGCATGTACCACAACCGTGAGATGATAGCAAGAAAGGGACCCGGGATCTTCCTCAAAGGATGGAAAGCGATTGTGTAGATGATCCATCCCAGCCAGTAAAAGGCCGGTAGGGCGAGTAGCATCCAAACATTGGAAAATACAAGATTTGACAACATGTCGTTATGCAAAGAGAGATGGAACGAGGGAAATGGTGTTGTGAAGATTAAAGAACCAGGCCATTTGAACTGGATGTCGTGGCTTTATACTAGCGAGTAACATTGACATACTGGCACACCCTCTATGGCATTAACAAAGTGGGCGGTCGTTGGTATATGGAGAGATCAAAAGCCTCCACTCGGGCTTCATCCCTGTAGCTCCCACATCCTCATATTGCGTCAATGATATCGAGGCACGTCCGTGTTATCCACCAAAGAAGGCTCTCATGTCACTTGTGGGTCTTCGGAAATGTCAGAAATGCCGCTGAGTCATTGAGTTTCAGATGATTGATCGACAGTGCCTTCACATAGGTATGTTTTTTCACATAGGCAAACTCCTCGACCACCTCGGCCTAATACGAGGCGAATGAAATGGCATCTCGATGAAGAGGCATCTTCTGCCATCCGCAATGAGCGATCCGTGACTTCAACAGCCACCAATTCGCAGCAGCATTTATGAGGAGGCTCTCTATCAGGGGACGAGGAAGGAACTGTCATATCTGTTAGGTCAAGCCCTGTACAGTAGTGGAGAAGGCAAAGTTTGCAGATGCCGGCAAGTGGGTGACATCGGCCGCGTCCGTAGCACGGTAAATCTGGCAGGGATGATGGTCACCAGAATACGACGCGGCAGTTCTTGATGAGGGTTGCGAATCGGATCTTCACCGAGTGAGCATTGTCAGAGGTCGGAGTTCATTCCTTGCAGACAATGTGCTACTCCTCCGCCGCTCAGCCGAAGACGCCAGCGCGTCGCTAAACAATGGGCCACCATGTCTGGGGAGGCTAAACTAGAGCTGGATGGTTGCTTTACTGAATTTCTGCGTCATTTCTGGCTGGCAGGCTACTCAACTCACAATCAGAAACCTACGACTTCACCCCAGCCTCGTCTTTCTCAATGCCGGAAGCCGAGACGTCAGCTCCAGCGAACCAGGCGATCTCTTCGGCCTCTCTCACTGCTACTGCGGGAGAGGCAGCCGTCGTCCATGGCCTGGAGGTGACTCGTCTGACGCAATGTGCGCACTGGCACTCGGATCGCGACATCATCGCCATCCGACACAAATGCTGTGGCCGCTACTACGCCTGCATCAGCTGCCACGAGGCGCTCGCCCAGCATGAGTCTGCTGTCTGGCCCAGGAATGAGCGAGATGCCAAGGCCATTCTTTGCGGCAATTGTCGTGGCGAATTGAGCATTGATGAGTATCTGTCCTGCGGCTCAACCTGTCCTAAGTGCAAAGCTGCTTTCAACCCTGGATGCGCAAACCACTACGACCTCTATTTCGAAATGGAGTGACTGGTCTATATCAATGCCTATATCTGCCTTCCGGAGGAGATCGCTTGAACGTTAAACAAAGAAGATATCAGACCTAACAAACTCAATACAATGAATACGAAAGGTTAATAAAGGAAGCTTTGCTAGCTCAAGACTGCAGTTATACAGCAGAAAATTCTCCAAATCTTCATGCCGATGACTCACTTGCTGTCAGGACGAGCTGCGCGTCAAATGACTATTAAAGCTGCCCTCGTTACCCGGCTTCAGGAGAGTTTAGCCTTAATAAAAAAGCCTTTACACAGTGAGATGCAACACAGTGAGGGGTGACTGGTCTATATCAAGGCCTATATCTGCCTTCATGTCGCAGCTGGGCGGAGGCTGGATTGAAACCACGGTGGTGTTCAGGGGAGACAGTCAGCTGCTTGGCGTTCCTTTTGGGCCTTTTGTGGTGCTTTAGTGAGGCGGAGCAAAATGAAACGCGAATACAGGCTCTAATTATAGGCAGAGTGATCCCGGTAGAGAAACGCCTTACCGTGTTTGCCTTGTTGATTCTTCCTTCACGCAACATCTTCATTCTACTCGAGCCCTCTGGCGTCTTTCACATCGCCGACGACCAGAACTCACTCCTGACCCGGTATTGAATTGATCCATACTCATTACACGATGCATCACGATGGGGGCGATTCCTCGGCAGCAGCCGCTGACACACACTCATCTCACGACAATTTCGCACACGTTACGCACACCCATGATATGACCTCGTATTCTACTGTGAGTTGGTTGATGTCTTTCCCAATAACTGAGCCGATATCCTAATCTCAAGTGCCGCAGCTCGACTCTCACCTTCATCATGACCACAGTAACCAGCACCAATACCATGACCACACCCACTATCACCATCACCAACACTCTCATCTGCCTAACCATCACCATAGTCACAATACACACGATCACCACTGCGACCACCCCCATTCACCTCAAAAGCCTCATAAGCCCCATCGCCCTGATCACCCTCATCCCCCGCCACCGCTTGGTGACCCTACCTATGGGCCAGGGATTGGTCTTCCTCCCCCGTCGTACTCTCAAAGCTATGGGACGCTGAGTACTAGTCGAGAGATCCCTCGACCCTGCCCGTGCTGTGTTGAGGCTAGAACAAGGAGTGAATCCAGGCCAGGGGACTGTCTTTCCTTCATTGGAACGACTTTCGGGATCTTAGTGTGCCTTGCATGGTTTTACATGGTGTTCCGCGGCGTGTCAGGGAATTTGTAAGCTCTTTGATCATCTACTTTCCGCGCAAGTTATGTCCTTGGAGACACGGCACATTGCCGCTAGGACTGTCGAGTTCATCTGTGATTTAAGTTTCGGAGAGAGAGGCCATTCCCTCTCTTCCTCAACAAGGAAGTTAGTTGGTAGTCGCTCTGATTTACAGTTTAGCCGCCATCTCCCGTCCGAGGCGCTCCTACGGCCTTACCGGTAGAATAGACACTCGCTATAGCATCAATACCCATTTTTACCAAATCATTTGACTAGTGGGATTGGCTCAGATTGGAGCAGATGGAGAACATAGGATCATCATCGTCGCATCGCGGGTATTTTGTTTAATAAGCGATCCAATGAGTGATGGCGCAAGACATGAGACTAGATCTCCATTGCACAACTAGGACGAGTCCCAGGTGAGGAGTTGTCCAATTTACGTTTCACACAAGGCTTCCTAGTTAGTAACTCGGCCAATGATTCCCCGACATTGGTCATGTTCAGCAGACTATAAGTATAAGCATGGCACATTTCCCTGCATTTTTAACTCTTGTTGTCAAGTCCCAAGTTCATTCATCAAGTTTCCCGTGTTTGAGTTATCAATTGCAACGGCACCATGTTGAGCATCACCAAATCAGCCCTAGCCGCGACTTGGCTTTGGTCTTCCTTAACATTGGCGTTTACGAACCCAATTAAGACACTCAATGGAAGTGATCCCCAGATGGTATATGATGACGGCTAGTGAGTTATCCCTCGTCGTCCACTATTTTTAAGACATTTCCAACCATCGTTCCAGCTACTACCTCACTTCCACAAGCTGGACCACAGTCGAAATCACAAAAGCTCGGACAATTGAAGGACTAAAGACGGCCATTCCGACTGTCATCTACGACGATAAATCAGACCCCCTAAGGACGAGAAACTGGTGGGCGCCTGAAATCTGGCGTCTCAATGGCCGCTGGTATGTGTACTTCTCAACAAGCATAAATGGCACCTGGGGCGAGATGCTCCCAAGTCTTACCCAATGGGTCCTCGAGGGAGGCACCGGAGCGCCTCTAGACGAGCCCTTCTCCCTGGTCGGCAAGATACGCCCCGATAACTACCACGGCGGAATGCTAGATGGGGTAAGATCGAAAGAAGCAGTCTTTGATTGTTGAGCAGCATTGACTTTGGTTAGACGGTGTACAATATCGACGGCCAGGATTATTTCATTGTGAGTAGTTCGCATGCATAGACACCGAACAATATCTAACCTCGGAGCCAGTTCTCGTCAGTGGCCAGCGACGACGAATCGCCGAATGGTGCTTCGCTATGGATTTCCAAGCTCTTGGATCCTACAACTGTCGGTCCAGCCACGATGATCGCATATCCAGAGTTCGACTGGGAGCACGAGGTCTCGGCAGTTCTAGAAGGACCAGCTGGCATCACGTCTCCCTCTGGAGAGGTCTGGGTGGTGTATTCCGCTGATAGCTGCAACGGTCCCGAGTACAAGCTGGGAGGCATGAAGCTCACGGCTGGTGCTGACCCGTTGCTGGCCTCGTCGTGGACCAAGCTGCAGGAGCCTTTGCTCGTCACAAGTGTTGAGAATGGGCTGTATGGCCCAGGGCACAACGGGTTTTTCAAGAGCCCCGACGGGACACAAGACTGGATGGTCTTCCACGCAAACAGGAATTCCAACGGAAGCTGCGACGCAAAGAGGCAGACGTTTATTCAGCAGGTCCAGTGGAATGAGGATGGTTCACCTCAGCTTGCGCCACCGCTTCCTGCGGGAACTGAGATCCAAGCGCCATCTGGTGAATGTAAGAAGAGGTCTACGCTGGCTTAAATCCCGGCCCGAATATGGTGATACATAGAAACTGGGTATATTAGGATTCATCGAAGCAGAATAAAATTCCCGTTATCAAGGCCACGGTAGAGATGTCTAAGATCAGTTAGAAATTGTCTCTGGTTTACAGATTGTATGTCTAAGATCTAGCAAGGGACTTGGTTACAAGACATCGACAAGGGAGCTCCGCGACATCTTTCCCATGGTCCCTTGATTCAGAAAAACCTAGGCTTCAAATTACCAAAAATCCCAGTTGTACATTCCTAAATACCGAGAGATCTTCTCATTTAAGAATGTTGGCGTCCAACTTGAAGCTGATCATTGTGACTGTTAATTATCCGATATATGCTGGCTGAATATTGAGTATGCAAAGTAGCCAGAGTGATGTAGAACAATAATACTAATGCAGAGAAAAAAAGATTCTATGGATTGTATCAACAATACATGGAACAGTCGGCTTCCTTGACTACTCAAGATGAGGAATGTGTCATTTCATTCATATCTTGTTGCCTCAGTGTCCCTTCTTCAGCACCACCTATATGCATTTAAAGCCATCAGAGCTCTCATCCGACCTTCTTTGAAGGAGTAGTAACCTAGACTCCAGTTACACGCTGGTTTTCATTTCCCATTCTTTCCTTAATCGGTTGGTTTTCTCCTACCAAGATGCTTCCGACCTTCCTTCTTCCGTTTGCCACTCTGGCAGCTGCCTCGGTGATAGAGACATCATACTACAACGACAGACCCCTCCTACAGAGGGATGGCTGTAGGACTTCCCAGTTTTTCAGTGTAATCTTGGTTAACTAACAGTTAATGCTAGTGCTTGTTCCGCCTGTCACTGAGAAAGACGTTCGCAACTTTGACCTATACGCCGAGTACGCTCTTGCATCCTATTGCAATTACGACACCGAGGCTGGAATTCCAGTGACTTGTCAGGGCGGTTGCCCGACAGTACAATCAGACGGAGCTAAGATTGTCAAAGGTTTCGAGTAAGTGGCGCAGCAAACCCAAGTGATCCCAAGCTCATCAAATGACTAGGGGCCCTCTGACCAAAATTGCGGCGTACGTCGCCACTATCGATTCACGAAAACAGATCATTCTTTCCGTCCGAGGCACATCCAACATTAAGAACTGGTTGACGAATCTCAAGTTTGTGGCACAAGACTCGGACCTTGTCGAAGGCGGGCTGATTCATGGTGGTTTCAGCAACGCCTGGCAAGAAATATCTGTCGGAGTTTTGGCCGCAGTCAAGCAGGCCAAGAAGGAGCATCCAACTTACTCCATCATCGCAACAGGGCACTCACTCGGCGGTGCCGTCGCAACCATTGCAACGGGCTATCTTCGCAAAGCAGGCTACGACGTGGACTTGTACAGTTACGGTGCTCCCCGCATTGGAAATGCCGCCCTCAGTGACTTCATCACAAACCAGAAGGGCAGGGAGCACAGAATCACACACAACCGCGACCCGGTGCCTCGTGTTCCTCCGTCCGCCTTGACGCCCTACAAGTACCGTCATGTGTCTCCCGAATACTGGCTCACGGGCAAGCCTGCAGACCCCAACAACTGGCCAATTGCCAACATCACAGTCTGCGAGGGGAACAACAACTCCGACTGCAACGGAAGCTCGGTGAAGTTCCGTATTAAGGATCATTTGAATTATCTTGGATCCACCGACTGCAAACCCAAAGGTGCAGCAGCGTCGAAGTTCCAGGTCATGTCTGACGAAGACGCTGCCCAACTTGATCAGCTACTCAGCGAATGGGTTCATATGGATGCTGCAGAAGATGAGGTATAGTTTCAGTGAGATAAAGTCTACTGGTATTATAGTACTATATACCTTAAAACCGAGCTTTCGGTTATGATATTCTCTTGATGACTGGTCGTCAGGCACTTTGCCAGTCGGCCAAGGTAAATACAACTACTTCGGGTCTACAACCATCCCAGTGTTGCTCGGTATCCAGAAGTTTCGGCCTATTTTTTCACTTTAAAGAATATTTTCGCATCAATATGTCTGCCTTCAACTTGGATGAATGCAATATCTTTCTTCCGCAGATTGTGTCGCGAGTTCGTTCATAGACTCTTCCCGCAGGAAAATCCACTGATTTACAAAGTATCTTTGAAATCTCTAACCGCATCATCGAAATTCTGATCAATCTTCAAGCCAAGCTTCAGGCCTTTGCTGGGGTCAAACGCAGTCGCCCATGAATACACAATCGCCTTCACTTTTGGGTCTTCCACCTCTGTGATATACTGTAGCTTATCTTCTCCGCCGACTCTCACGAGTGAGTCCAGAAGATCTTGCACAGTAACAAGGAGACCAGGCATGTTAACTACCCTGTCGTAGTCTGGGAGCGCATCACGAGGGATGCCAAGCGCGTGAACCAGGTTATAGGCAAGGGTTCTCGGCGTGCAGATGGTGTGCTTGAACTGCCTATCCTTTATGGGGACGACGCAAGGAAGTCCTTGCATAGGTTCACGGATAATGCCTGAGATGAAGGAAGACGCCGCCGCAGTGGGCTTTCCAGCTCGAACGGATATGGAGGGCAGGCGGAACACGAGAGCATTTATAAATCCCCTTCGGTGATACTCGTTGATGAGATATTCGCAAATCATCTTCTCGCACCCATAAGAGCTCTGGGGTGTCGTGCGCGCTCCTTCAGTGACCGGTTCCGTTATCTTGCCGCCATGCACCGCGCCGGCGGAAGTATAGATGACCTTGACTCCTGGGCGATTCTTTCTCAATACCTCCAATAATGATCTGGTCGAATCAACATTCACCCTCATTCCTAGATAAAGTATCAGAAGCCGGTTTCTACTATCATCTTCCCAATTCACAGGTTTACTCACCAAGATCAAAGTCCGCCTCTGCTGCTGAGGACATGACACCATGGAGCATGTAAACTGCGTCAATGTCCTCGTCAACGACGGCTGCAGCGTCGGAAAAGAGATCTGCCTGGATGCACTTGGCCTTCTCTGGCCACTTGACGCCCTTTGGAACTGTAGGCAGGACGATGTCGGTCAGGACCAAGCTATACTGCCCGCTCTCGTCATCGAGGAGGTGCTGGACCAGGTTCTGGCCTACAAAGCCTGCCGCTCCGGTGATTAGAATCTTCATAATGCTATCGATCAGGTGTATCTATTCCACGTTAAAAGGTATTGGTTCATCAAGGAAGCATTAGATACTCCCTCTTCTCCTCAAAATGATTCAATACCGCGGAGGTGGGGTCGGAGGTTTGCCGGACACTTGCTTGCGGAAAATCGCCGATCATCACAGCTTGAAGACTGCGGGGGTCACACATCTTGGCTGTCCGGAGAGTCACTGCCCGGAGAGTCAGAGACAGCCAATATCAGCCAAATAGCATCACCCGCTCACATCTACGACCATACCTGCGAGACAGTACTGGATCCCCCTCATCTTCATCAAGTTTTTCAGTCAGTGGCGTGACAGTTACAGGGTTGTCCGCTCGTGAAGAAGCCGTCCGTGCCGGCTAACCCCGCTGTAGCTATTAAGGACTTCGTGTGATCTCTGTTACGTGTAGCCCCTCCTTCCTAACCCAGTGATAATGGTCCGGGCTTACTTGGTACAGAACGGTATTAATTACTACCATCGGGTCTGGTGTCCTGAGAGCTTACACCAACATCTCTCATTATCCCATAGGTTTTGTACTGTGAGCTAATCCCGAACCTGAGCATTCAAAACGCGAAGATACCAGCAAGACAACATGACTGATCTCACCAATGCCGAGTACACCTTATACTCGTCTCCCTTTTCCTTGTATTCTATGATGGCTCGCCATACAGTCCAGCTGGGCCCATTGACTGACAACGCGGCACCACCAAAGAAAATCAGTTTGAGCTTCATGAACAATAGCAAAAATGATAATATCAAAGAGGAATATCTCAAAATCAACCCAAAAGGACAGATCCCTTCCCTGACAGGCGATGTCCTGAGCGAGCCCCTAACAGACAGTATTTCAATCTCACTGTACTTGGCAGAGAAGCATTACCCCTCTTTGCTACCAGCGGCACATGCTACGGTGATCAGGCAGCTCCTAGGGAGAATTCACCAGATTCATGGTCTCTCCATCAACAACAAGAAGGCGACACCCGAAATGCAAAAGTATAATCCTTCACCAGCGGCGGATATTCTCAAGAGGACGGATATTAGTCCCGAATATCGTAAAGCTCTCGAGTTCAAGCTTAAATTGTACGTGTTTATGTGGCTTGCTGTCTGTCTGTCTGTCATTCGTACTGACCACCCCTGCAGTCACGATGAGACGAACGCGCTGGCTTTTCAGCCGGAGAAGATCACAGAGTCTCTCGCAGATCTGAGAGCCATTTTGGCGGAGATCTCGGACCACGGCAAGCAAAGCGGCGCTTTTGGGGACAAATTCGAATGGATCTTTGGTGCTCAAGTAGGGCCAACTGTGCTCGACAGCCATCTCCTGCCGCTCTTACTGCGCATGCTTGAGGTTGGTAATGCCCATGTAGTCCCCGAAGAGCTACAACAGTGGGCTAGGGCCAAGGCAGAAAGTGTTTCCTGGGAGAAGGTAATGCATGGCAGACCGACAAGATACGATCCTTCCATGGGGCCAATGGAGGAAATGGAGGATATGCTGACTCTGTAATGCTGTTACTGTGCGCGCTCACTCTGGTCAATTTTCACCCAGAAGTACTGTTTAGTCTGGTAGGAATTGAATCCGACATTGACTATCTGTATTCGATCTATGAAAGGTATCGATGTTGGTAAATTTCTCCCCTCCTTTTATTAACGTAATTCGCAGTGGATGATCCAAGACATGATTTTGATTTCCCATAAATTGCCCTATTAGAATGCGCGAGATGTTCCCAAATCACGTTATTATAGACATATATCTTCTTAATGCCAGTAATTACTCATACTACCCTTTGTATTCGAACATACCTCATCGAGAGCGTCCACAACGTCGCGCAATAAAACACCTTCCTCCAAAAGCCTGAGATTCTCCTCCAGTTACTTTACGCTACTGACCCCAATGATCACAGCACCCTCCAGCGTCATCCAACTTGGAGTGATGAGCAATCCAACGCAGAGCGCATCGAATACAATGTCGCCCCAGAGTTGTTCCCGGTAAAATGAGATCTGAGGGAGCCAATGGGACGAGCTTCGGGGTAAAGAAGTTGGTGTTCATCACATTGGTTAGAGCTCGAGGTTTTTTCGCCTGGTGATTCCCAAGCACTTGTAGAGGTGATTGGAAAGGCCAAGGTGCGCATCAGCATGTTTTTTTTTTTTGCCATGAGGATGGTGAGAAGGTCGTTCGCGCGTGCGTCAGGTAGCGAACTGACCATGTGGAATTGTTTTTCCCTCACTTCACTTGCTCTCTTTCCACTCATCAGATCGATCATGACTAACAGCATTTTGTACAACACGAAACAGTTTTACGTGACAGAAGTCTTATAATTTACAGCCAATATCAACACTGGCTGACAACCTCCTTAGCCATTAGTTCTGTTCATACAAGGTGGATTTAGTTGATAAGTTCGATAGCACCGGGACTGTCATGATGCCTCTCGACGTAGAAATACGACAGACTACCGCCCTTGGACTTTCCGAACCCGTACCGTCTATCGAGCTTATGCAATTCCTTTACCTTTTCATTTGTGTTTTTCGGGCCAACCACATCATTCAAGTCCTCTCTAAGCCCGCGTGACCTGACGATGTACGGAATCACGGCAGCCATATGGGCTGGCGCCACGGGCATAAAGTCCCCCCTTGGCCAACTAAAGTGATAGCCGATAACTAAGTGGACACCGAGCACAAAGGCAATGAGCATTGTAGAAGCGGTGGCTGCAGAGAGGTCACTCTCAAATGTAGTTGATCCGTATGAAGATGCAGAGAGTTGCAAAGACCCAAGGAAGATGGTGAAGACTGTCGTTGCCAGTGAGGCCAACATTGAGCTGCATAGCAGATAATGCTGGTCTCGACAGGCGGTCCAGATTTCCCAGATAGGAGGGCCGCTTTGATAGTCTGCCCACAATATCTCGGGGCGCTGATAACCTTGAGCCAGGGCATGAAATGGAGCTAAACAGCGTACAGCGTGATCAATAACGTCTACAATTGATTAGGAGAGGATGCCGACAATCAGGTAGACGTTGGGGTCGATCGGAATGCCATAATTCCACCGCGTATCCTTGGCGTTCTTATTGAGACTTGCCGTGATCCAGCCTTGTGCGAACATGAAGAGGAATAGTATAAGGAGCCAAATAAGATAAAGGAGTCTCCGAAACACAAGGAACTTGCTGCTAGAGCCCGAAACTCCGTTGAAGACGACCTTGATAGCTCCAATGATTATACGAAGCCACTTCCCCATCTTGGTTATAGTAGGATGCAAGGACTTTGGAAAGATTTCCTTGACAAACTTAACCGCGAGGGATTGGGAAGACGCTGTACTGGAACAATCCTATGTTTCTCATTCATCTTTTGCAGGTGAAACCTCAAGGTCCCGAAAGGCCGTTCAATGTCGGCAAGAGACTGGTCAGCATCATTAGCCGGCAAGGCAAAATCGCTGGCTTCACTTCCTTCCAAGAGATAGACAAGGTCTGCAAGACCTCTGACATCCCGGGAGAGGCCAGTCTCGAGAGATGGTAGCATAAAACATAACACGACGCAGCAGAGATTTGCAGCAGCCAGTGTCCCGGCCAGGATATACGCCCAGTCACGGTCCACGAGGGCCACCTGCCACGAATATATGTCCGGCCAGTCAAGGGCCGCGCCAGAATACAACTCCCAATAGAATAGGTAATTAGCCAACACCGGAATCACAATGGTGGCCAGCACAGATCCCACGCTTGAGACTGCGACGGACCAGTGTCCGTACATCACCGCCTGGAGTATGCACAGCGGCGTCCAAAAGACGTGGTAATTGACGCACAAAGACCGAGAACCCAATGCTCCCCCTTTCTTCTGCAGCCGATTATAGACGTCGATCCGCTTGACCTCGTCGTCGAGAGCCTTCCACAGGCGGCCGTACAAGACGGCTAGAATCATGGGGAGATAAGTAAAGGCGAAGTATGCACCGCGGCTCAATCTCTGCGCTGAATTCTTCTGACTCCACACTCCGTCAGGGCTGAAATTGTAATACACGGATAAAAGGCCTTGCGGAGGTCTATCGAGAGTCGGTGCCCTGATAAAGGTCGAGGTAAAGGGCTCGCCTGTCCAAGTCCCGTCGGCCTCAGGTCCGCCAGACCAATCTACTCCTTCAATGTTGGCAAGCCATACGACAAAGTCTTTTTGCGATCATAAACTTACGTGCAAACTGTGTATCTGGCTGTTGGCTTCTCCATTGGAGAAGTAGAACGAGGGTCATGAGGCAGGTCGTAGAGAGCATGATGAAGGACAGATATCCGTAGCCAAACACCCTAGGTCTCCAGTCGTTATTTTGGTGTATACTTGGCAGTGATATGATGGGCTTGCAGAAGTGTAGTAAAACCAAGGCTATCGCCAAAGAGAACACGACCGACAGAAGTCCAATCACTACTTTTGAAACCATGGATTCATAAAAGAAAGGACCGTCAAACCCTACTCCGTATGGTGGCATGAATAGCTCGTCCAGTAGGGGGCTGGAGAAGTTGAGAAACTTGGGTTTGCTGTGAGTTGCGAAGCCAGTGGCACTGTATACCAGTCAAAAAAGGCCCAAATCAATATCGTTTTTGACAATTGTCACGTACTTGCCACCAATCACTTTATAGACAACTTCGGGGACAAAATATCCCACAGACGAATTTCTATAATCCGATGGCCTCAAGAGGGATATATCGTAGTTTACAGGCGCCGAAGAATAACTCATACATGGCTTGTGAGTGTTGACGTCGAGAAGACAGCCGCCAAACATGAGCAAGAACCTCGAATTGAGGAGGAGACAAGAGCTCTCGGCCGTGGGGTAATTTGGGGCGAATTCTGGATTGGTTTGCGCTCTGATCCAGGCGGCACTGCGTGTTCCAGAGCATTTAGCAAACAAAAACAACAGAATTGCCTAGACAATCTCACCTAGGTAGACTAAGTACCCATGCATCAGCCAAGGCGATCACGTTGTTTTGACCGCCCATCAAGACAAGGTTGTGCGACGTCTTGTCTTGGGAGGATCCAGCAGCCGCGCAGGCCAACATTCTCCTGGATGGAAAGGTCTTGGTGGATTCGAAATCTTTTCCGTCAGCCTGGTCATGGACATCGACAGCCTGTCCGTTGACATCAGTCACTGGCTGCGCAGTCCACTGTTCTGTTTCGATGTCAAATATGTACACCGTGGACATGTCTGCCTAAAAATCTGTGAGTTTCCAAACTCTCGACGTGATTCTAGCCCTACTTACCAAAGACAATGCTCCCTGGCTGTCAATGAAACCTCCAAGAGCAACTAGAGCGCCGCTTCGAGTGCCAGTGTTGAGGAACACAATGCTCTGATTGACGACGGGTACAAAGTCCGGGACTGGAATGGTTCGTAGCGTCTCTGTTTGCGTATCAAACACGGCAAGGAAGTGATGTATGTTATGAGCGACTCAGCCGTTTTCTCCTTTTTGTGCATGGTCATGCCTCCAAGATAGAATCCTTTTTGCAAGTCCGGCACGTCGCAGCCAGCACCGTGGCTTGGTCGTCCATCTGTGGCATTGGCCGCGACTTCTAGTCGTGTCCAACTCTCGCCGTCGTCATGCATTTCGAAACGCCAGACATCGTTATTCAAAACCTTGTCCTCATGTATTGGTCGTCCACCAAACAGCCAGGCGCGATCGACTCGATTGCTCCACATAAAGCCATTTGATACCAAGTGCACATCTTGTGGCCTTGAAGAAACATTTAGGATGGGGCCTATTGAGCTGAGAAAGTTGAGAGTTAGCTCCGCCCATAGAAGATCCGAGGCTACGGAATGTGGAAGACGATTGTCAGCTTTTTCAACAGGAGTGGTTTTCAATGTTGGCCTAACCTTTGTCCATGGCGGCACCATCTTCGTCAACGTGACGGCCGCCGTCTACCCACAACGTATCCAGTAATTGAAAGCCTGCGCGAGATCAGTAAGAAGGCAAAGAACTCGCCCAGTGCCACTCGACGTACTTTGAGCCCCTACTCTTTGGGGCATCTGCTGCGCCTCTCCATCTGCGATCAACAGGCTGCAAAATACCGCGGCGATGGCAAGTCTGGTGAAAGACCAGGACATGATGAGACCTCTGAGAAGAATCGAATCCTACCACCTTCCTGAGTTGTTCCCTTGCTAGTTTTACTCACTATGCAACAATCGAAGAATACATGGCCAGGATTAAACGTTGTGGAACAGCAGCAAGTCAATAAGTATCATTAAAAGGTCATCTAGCAAAGAAGAACGAACGGAAAAATCTCGCAAATCTGCACGACAAGAGCTGCATACCCCGCTGTAACCTCAGCTCTTCAGCCTCACCGTAGGATTCGCAAAGTGTGGAATGAGGCTCATGTTTCCAATCTAGTCGAAGCTTACTCCGAACCCCATGTTCATGAACAGGGTTTATCAAGGCTTCTCCATTTGCACAAATGTGAGATTGTCGTAGGATACATTGGGTATCAACAAACGCGGCTCTACGCCTCTTATACGAGCTTTTTTCGGTAGATATAATATAAGTATTAGACTGCTACTTGAGAACGGAGCTCACCTAGATGTCACTACGTGACTCCCTATAAGGTCGAAAGGTTTCTACCTAGAAATATAGCATGTTTCTATCTACATATATAGCCACACACACCTCATGCAATATACCCAAGTCCCGAAGCTATTGTATCGAATGGAAACCGCTTACTTGATTCTAACCCCGGCCCCAGACAATTCCAAGTCGCGTGATCAGATTCCTCGTCTCATCGTACTCACCATAGAAACCACGTGCAGACCACTTGGCGAAGCCATTCCCAAAATTGGGAGCTAGCTCCACCAATTGTGCTACGTCCAGCTTGACCCTTACGTTTCCCTTGCCCTCCCACTGGGTGGTCAGCAGATCCAGAGGCCAGTCGGGAAGCAGGTTCTCAGAGTCTTTCTCGCCAGCCACAAACTCCACCGAGTCGATATACACAGGCTGCGTATCGTTGACTCGTCCCGAGACGATTTTGGCGACAGAGAGCAGAGGTTGGACGGTGGTGCCCCAGTCCTTGTCCTCCTCACGGTAGCCACCGTGCAGGATCTCCTCGCCGTTTCCATAGGTGACCTTGAGCCCGGAAAGGCCACCGAGTTTGCTACTGTTGTTGGTGGCGAAATCGATGGATCGGATCGTCCACTTGCGGTCGATGCTCTGCAGGCAGTTGAAGGACTTGACGGTGCTGCTGGCGGGCACGTCGACCGACAGGTTCTTGCCCATCAGGAAGACCTCGGAGAGCCTCCGGTCGAGGCTCAAGACGTTGTACTGCAGGACTTTGGAGAGGCCGAGGAAACTTTTGCAGATTGCGGTCTGGATCCGGGTTGAGGGGACGGGCACGAAGCCGTCCTTGCCCCAGACGACACCGAGGGTGCTGATCTGGCCCTTGACCTCGAGGCCGAAGAAGCCGCGCAGGGAGTAGCGCGTGTCCTCGGGCCGGAGCCAGACCCTGGACGTGATTCTCATGTCAGTCCTCTTGGTGCTCTCCTGCTTCTCGCCCTCCTCCCCGGTACCTCGCTTGGCCGTGTCAAGGGTCTGGTAAAAAGAGGTGGACACGGCGATGGAGTGGAGAAACGATCTGCCCGTCTCCTTGCCCTCGGCGGTAAGCCGCACTCCCTCGCGAACTACAACCTCGACGATGACCTCGGAGCCGTTGGGATCGAGGCGCAGGCTATGGGATGGGCTGCCCTCGACCAAGCCGTGGGTGATGACGGTGCCGTTGGCGTACCGCGTCTTGACGCCCTTGAGGAGCGTCTCGTCCGAGAAGACGTCGAGGTCAACCAGGCGGTATGTCTGGTCCAGCTTCTGGAGATCGTTGAAGCTGTAGGCGAGCGAATGCACGTCGTCATTTGTGATTGGCCCGACGCACCCCTGCATCCTGTAGTCTCGGGCCTTGTACGCCACCGCCTTGATTGTGTCGAGGAGCAGGTTACAGTGGTCCAGCAGAGGGGCGTCGAGGTTGTGGACTGGGGGCAGCGCCTTTTCGTCCGTCTTTGGCTGGGAATAGCCCAGAATCAGAGCTGCTGAGGGGTCCCTGACGCCCAGAACAGCATTTTCCGGAGATAAGGATCTCACAATCTAGAATTGGCCCTGTTAGTTGAGTGTCTCGAGGCTCGAGTTGCGAGTGGGAGAATACTTACGGGCAGGAGCTGCTTGAAAACAAGCGGGTTGAGGAAGTAGTCATCTCTGTTGGCCTGGGTGGCGATGAGAGGGTCTTTGGCCACGAGATCGACCTCCTTGACGATCTTGGCCATCTCGGCGCGGCAGATCTTCTTGGCTTCGATCAGCCCAGCAAAGGAGGGCATAAATGGCTTGATTATTTTCTTGTCGTCTGGGTTTGGTTGCCCGCTGCCCGCGTTACCAGTCGAGCCAAAAGGTATGCCTGGAACAAGTGCGGTACTCTGTGTTTGCTGCTGCTGCTGTTGTGGTGGTGGTGGTGGCGGTGGTTGCTTCTGCTCTATCTGTTGCTGCTTGGTATCTGTAGTGGTATCTGCCAAGACGGGTCGTCTCTTGACCATGTCGTCGGCGGTGGAAAATGCCTTGACTTTCGCGTGACCGGCCATTTCCTCTGATATCTCGCCCATGTCGATAGTGGCGCGGTTGGCCTCGAGTTCAAAAGAGGCATTGGAAATCTGCTTCCAGAGCATCTTGTAATCCATGAAGGAATCAAGAAGTTGGCCCGTATAGATCCCGGCGTTCTCGTAGCTCAGAACGTCGTATGATCTGTTCTTGAGGTGGAAATCCTCCAGTGCCGTGTACTTGGTGAGAATGGCGTATGTCCTCTGCGGCGTAATGGCCACCAAATCAGGGAATGCAGCAGCCGCTCTCTTGAGGTTGTCGATGGTCCAGTCATCAAGGGGGTCTTTGATCGAACCGCCACCGGACCAGTTCACCGCAACGGTCGTCTCCGTCTCCTTGTTGAGACTGCTCTTGGCAATGTCAACTTGCGCCTTGACCTCTCCGGAGATGGAGGGTGTTGTCATTTCCGCTTCGATGGCTGCCTTGACCTGGAAGATCTTGGACTTGTCCAGTACCTTGATGGAGACGATTGCGTTGAGCTCACCGCCTTCTTCCCATCCGGAGATGAAGGAGTCCTAGAAGATTGATTAGGCCAGATAGCGATACAGAGACCAGGGCAGCACACTTACACCGTAGACTTCCGAAAATCTGGACCCATCTAGCCCTTCGATTTTGTTGAAAACGTTATAATTCTTCGCATCATGTCTGTGAATGTGAAGTGAGTTACAGGTTCCAAAACCCATGTTGATGAGACTAGTGCCTACATTTGGTTCGTCACTCGGACTTGAAGGTGGAAGTTGATATCGCTCGACTTGAACTTATCACTGTCGACGTACGAGCCACTCGCCTTGCCACCAATCGTACTAGTTTTGATTGACAGAGAGCCGGAAATATTCATGGCATCTTTTCCTCACCGTTAGAGAGGGATTCTGCATGAGGTACAGAGTGAGCTCACCAGTCACATCACTCAACTTGTCCACGAATCGGGACGAGTACGTGACGATTTGAGGTTTGACCCATGGGTACACCTTGATGGCCTTTTGGTCCTTTTTCTGTGGTGCGGCAGAACCTCCCGTAGCAGCATCTTTCGACACTGCGCCCTCCTCGGCGGGAGCGCCCTCCGTCGGGACTACGCTTGTGTCCGTGGGCTGGCTTCCCTCTGCCGGAGGAGCTTTTATGGCGGTTTGGTCGGCATCTGGAGCTGGAGCATTGTATCTTCGCTCTGGGCTCACGACGAGCGGCTGATTGCCCAAGATGAGCAGGTCCCTGGGCGTTGGCGTGTTTTCCTGGATAGGGCCGGGCACAACGGCCCTGTCAAGGCAGATCTGCTGGGTGTAGGAGTTGAAGCCCTGCCCAAGGCGCATAGCATTGTTGTAGGGTGCTAGTAGTTGTGACATTGTGACGACGATGAAACCCTTGATGCCGCCAAGTTCTTCTCCCAGTTCGTGACAAAGAGCGGGTGGTGTGTTATAGCGGATGAGTAAATAGGACCATTGCAAGTAGGCTTTATTTTCCCACGAAACAGGCCGTCAATGGCATTCGTATGTCAAAGGAGATATTATGCAGGCAGTGTCAAGCCATGTCGCAAGATCTGGCAAGGGTGCTGAGTGTCATCGCCTCCAATAGCTTGGTCTGGGCCCATGCCCCTGTGACAAGACTAGAATATTGAACTACTATGTTTGAAAAAGACAATAATTGACAGAAGATTGATGCATTAGCGTCGAATGCAGGCTTACGCAATGTCTTATTCCAGTTCGCGAGAAAAATAATCTCCTCGTCCCCGGGGGCTCGATTGCACTCGATCGAGCTGAGGACAGGGAGGGGCCTGAGGGTTGAGAATTGGCCAAAAAGGGTCATCTGGGAGCATATCAATCTGCGGACAAAGGATACTGCCCGTACTTGATCACATTGTCACAACATTCAGCTCTTTATCTGCTGATTTGATTATTCTTATCTGCAGAATGGACGATGACGATCAACGAGACCCGACCTTGCCGTCCCTCGAGGGCCTCAGCGGTGGTGGCCACCCGTTTTCGATACCCTGGAGCCACGACGTGAGAGTGCTCCTGGGCGGCTTCAAATCGTCTTGGGTGACAAGGATTGAAGGCCCCTGGGTTGGTAAAGGGGCATTTGATACCTCAGACGTGCAGATTCATACCGTTATTCCCGATACCCAGGGCGGGTCTACTTCTTACAAGGACGCCATCACCACCAGCACGGCTGTCTCCAACGATCATCTCAGCGCCTCGCTTGGGATCACGGTGGGCTATCCCTTCCTCAATGCGTCTGTCACGGGAGAGTATGACAGAACTGTTATGGAGAGTCACAACGTGAGTGCCAGCTAGTGCCTCCCCCCTGCCTGTGTGGTCCAGCTCGTCCTAACCCGTGTCTCGCCTGCTCCCGTTCCAGGCTGTTCGAGCCTCTTTGAACGCGTCCTGCCGCCTTGGCCGGATTGTGCTGGACCAGCCCCCACTCCTGTCGATGGCAGCCCAGACTGTTCTCCTGGAGCAGGGATCCCAGCGCTTCGCCGAGATCTACGGAGACTATTACGTTGCGGGGTACGAGCTGGGGGCTGACGCCGGCGCGTCCCTCTTTGCCAGGACCGACTCGAAGAGCTCCGAGGAGACACTGGTCGTCACGGTCACGGTCAAGGTCCTCTTCGCCAAGAAGAAGCTGCCTCCCTACACCAAGAAGTGGCAGTCGTCGCAATCGTCCTCGTCCATCTGCTTCGCGGGATACAACACGCTGGGAAGCTCCAAGAAGTCCCTCGAGGCAAGGGACCTGTCTCCAATGGGCCTGAGTGCGCTGCAGAGCACCTCGGCGGCGTACCTGGACAAGGTTAGGGCGCTGGACCCCACGGCCCGTGGCGAGCTGGAGAGGCTGGGGCTGCGGGACGGCCAATCAATCTCGCTGTCCAAGTGCTCTGAGATTTGCGAATCGGGGCTGGTGGTTCAGCTGCTCTTGGCCCCGTATGCTCGCCTGACCCAATATATTGAGCTAGAATTGGAGGCAGGGTACAGCAGGACGGTGGAGTCGCACCTCAGATGATGGATGGGTACCACGGGTGTGTTTCGTTCATGGTTAATCAGTAATAATCGAGGCGCTATTCTCTCCCTTCTCCACTGAAGTATTGGATGTCGTCGTAATCAAAGCTGGCGCCGGGAGTGGCGCGGCCTATGTATGTAGTCGGTCTAGGCTTTTGCTGGAGGCTGGCTAGTTCCCGGTCAGGCCGCTCAATGTAAACGTCAATGTATAGGTAACTTGGTGCTGGGCGCAGGATCTTGTTCATTGCTAATCTACAGTAGTCAAGAGGCGTGTGAAGGCCACGCACCAGACTCCCATCATCCAGTCAGGCCCTCAGACCGAGTTCAGTGCCCAGTAACTCCAATTTGATCATGGCACCACCACCGTACCCCGTCTCAACGCAATGGGTGACGTTCCCAACCGACATTGAAACCTCCGTTCTGATCAAGTGGACCGAGAACAAGCTGGAGGCTCGCCAGGCTCTATACTACAAAGCCAGATGTTACTGGGGGGACTTGAAGGAGCAGAGCGACCAGCAGAGAGCGGTTGACAATGATAACCCCGTCGTGCTACCCACCAGCTCGGGAGACATCAGCCTCGTGGGTATGTTACTTGAAGCCTCGATGCGGCATGCGATATGCTTATATAGTGCTAGGCGTAACCACCATCTACATCGCCCAGGAGTATGCAGAAAAAGGCTATGCCGGTGGCCTAGTGAAGAAATATCACATTCACGACTTGGCAAAGGCAGCCAACGGGGGAAAGCAAGGTAGGGGGCAATACTGCAACGCGAGCCTCGCTTTTTTGCTGTAGGAGGGAAGCTGACTTGGTAAAGTGCCGCCATGGGTTACGATGAGGCTCGACGCCCATTTCCATTACGGGCAGGATGGCAAGAATCAAAACCTGCGACGATGGATTGTCTACCACCCTTCTATCATCAGAGGCGCCCCCCCGCCAGCCATGCACCAGCACCGCTTCACTGGCCTTCCGAAGATAGAATGGCTCAACGCTGTCGCCTCTGACGCGTCTGATATCGGGGCAGGTACCAACGCCGGGATCCAGGCTGGAGCGTACCTGGGTTCCAAGATTGGAGCGAAAGCAATTGACATGATGGCATCCAAGTTTGGCGACCCTCTGCATCAGTTCCTGAGCCAAAAGGAGGCACATACTGTCATGTATGCAAGCATGGAGAAGCTCAATTTGACTGGAAAGAACGGAGAGCTGCCCCCGCGGACCAAGCAGCTGATTGCCGTCCAGATCTGGGAGGTGCAGAAGATCATCCTCGATATCAAGGAGGCAGAAAAGCTCGACCTTGAACTGGAAAAAGCCGAGCGTCAATTTCAAAAAGATGCCAAGGACTATTTCCGCAACAATAAATCCGATGTGGCCCTGCTGCACAAGACTTTTGCCGCCGAGGTCAAGCGTGACGCAGAGCAGCAAGCCGAGGAGGACGCCAGGATTGCGAGCCTACCAGCCACAATTGCTGCGCTGAATTCGCCGGTGCAATCCCTGCTCCTTAATGTGTCTAATACGGCAACTGTCAGCGCAAAAGACGCCTCTGACCTTGACCTGACCCTGGGACTGATTAACATGAACCGGCGACTCGCCGATAGGGTGAGGAACCCCCAGGACTTCGAGAATGACGTCTACGCTGGAAACCAGAACAACCCTCTTCTAGGTAATCTTAATAGGGGTGGTCAGGTTGGAAGCGGCCAGTTCAATCCGGGGAACAATCAATCTACTCAGGGCAGTGGGAGGTTGAATAACAACAGTTCAAGTGCCATCAGCCGGCAGATCAACCAGGGAACCCAGCAAAACACTCAACCGTCTGGATACGATGGACTCTTAGGCCGGACTGTTGTCCTTCCCTCACTTGTACGGAGCAGACATAGCTAGTCTTCACTACATTTAGTATCATAAGGAGGCATTTTCGTATTGCTCTGTTATTTTATAAGGCCCAGTTTTCTCACGTAACGATCTTCAAGTGAATTGACTACATGTTGGAACATTCGTAGCAATAGTAGACTGTGTACCTGAAGGACTGTTAGGTGAAGCCGGTGCATAGCCCGCGTGAAGAACCCACGAGGGAAATATTTCACCTGGAGCTAGTCTTCCAGCAGTCGCCTGATGTCTCGACTTACGCGGCGAGCCTAGAACCACTGCTGAGACTATCGATCCGCTGGTGGGTCATGTATTGCAGGACACTAGTGATCAATATTTGGTTTTCAGCGCGTGGCGAACCCGCTACAGGCCTCCTGATGCTACCTTGTACGAGCCGTGCTAAGCACAAAAGAACGATATAGGCACATCCACCTATGCTTGTACAGTGTTGGATATCTATGTCCCATGATCTTCGCATTACTAGCACTTTGGCCGGCCACCAAGGTTGAAATCATAGATTCTTCTGCAACCCTATCTGCTCCAATATCCACCTGCTCCAATATTCACCTGCCCATTCTTAAGCCCCCGCGCAGATCCACACAATGCAGGCCAACTCCATGTCCTCCTCCACGTCTGGCAAGCCGGTGTTCAAGAATGGTAACTCAAGCGGGAAGACGACTGATCTCCAGCAGAAAAAGGCAGAAGCCGAAGCTGAAATTGAGGCCGCGAGGAAGAAGGAGGAAGAGCGGATCAAGGAGGACCTTGCCGCTTTCAAGGAGCTGAAGGCGGAGTTCAGCACCCTCAGGAAGCAACTGGAAGAGGTCAATCAAAAAGCTGAAGCGGACCGTTCCTCTAATGAAAAGGAAATGAAGCACATCCGTGAGAAGCTGGAATTGTCCCAGGAGGAAGCCCAGGAAATGGCGGACAGCTGCGAAGGATACAAGCGCAAGCTCGACTCGGCGCAAGAGGAGTTGGCCAAGGTAAAGAAGGAGAAGAAGGCACTGGAGAGGGATGAATGGAACAACCTTGATCCAGAATGCCACGGGCGTCAATTCAACATCATCAACGTCTACGCCCGGATCGCCCTGGATTTTGGGGCAGGTGAGTCGGGGGCGTGTACAACATTGACGGACGAGCTAGCTGGCTGACCATCGCTATTATAGACAACGGCACAAGATGCCACGCCTGGAATTGGGATCCCAAAAATGGCTCTCAGCCAATGACGGTGGAGAGGGTGAATACGGGCGATTCCAACTCGCCGTGGACCATCCGCTCCGGGAACAGATACTTGGAGCTTCGTGACCCTAGCAGCGGATCCTATCAACCGATGTGTTCTGCTCGCAGATCCGGTTCAGAGGCCCGCAACCAAGAATGGTTGATTGGATTCAACGGCTACCGGCCTGGGCATTACTGGTGAGTGTAGCTTTTGATGACTTGAAGCATTGCTGGACCTGTCTAGGCTAACCACGAACACTTCAAGGCTTTGGAACGAGGGCCAACGATGCTATCTCAAACTTGTGAGCGGAGATTTGTTTAAGAACGGGTAAATCACCACCTGATTTTTTTTGGGGACTATGCATGCTAATAAATTTCCTCTAGAGGTACATTTGGCAGAGTAGAGGGTAATGATGAAAGATGGGACACCAGGTGCCAATTCGTTATAGTTACGACCGTACCTTATCAGACCTAGTCTAACAAGCCCTATCTCGTATTTACGTTGAATCTTTATTATAGGTACTTTGGGATAGTATATATATATTACTCTAACAGACTAGATTTAGTAAGAGTATACTGGATTTCCTAAACTTCCTTTATCTATACTTACTTAGCTTGGCGTATTGGTCGGCGGACTGGTAGGCTACGAGAATAATCTGCCATTACCGAGAATCAACAGGAGACTCAAGAAGGGAAACAGGCTGTCCATTCAGCTCTTGACAAAACATCTTCGAATGGCGCCCACAAGTTTCGTAGATTGCTCTTTGTTGAAGTTCTAGATAAGGACTTTACTAAAAGCTTCTCCTACTCCCTTCTCGTTCAGCCAAGCTTCTAGTGCCTTCATGTCGTTCCGATTTGCTCTCTCCCCTCGTCTTTCGCCAAGGTCATCTGTAATTTCTTGCATATCCTGAAAGGCTCTCTTGATATCAGGCCCAGATTCTCGATATCGCTCACTGACTTTCTTGTGGCCGGAGGGAATATCTCCCCAACTCTCCGTCTTTATAAACTTCATGTAATCGTCTATCGCCTGGGAACCGCCCTCAACACAAAGGACTCCTGGTTTTCCAGCCAGGAGAAAGCCAGTCAAGCCATACCCGGGAGCATGGTTGATTAAATCGTCTCGTTTCGAGCGTGTGCTGATTGAGGGGAAGTAAAACCACACGCGAACAATTGCCTCATCTATATTTTTCTTTGCATTTGCCAGAGCAGATGCCTTTCTTGACGCGAGATACTCCGCTGCTAAATCTTTCACCGCTTCGATGATAGTGAAGATATCCTCCTTGGGAATGTCACTAGTTAACCGCGCTGCGTCTGCTTTGCTCATCCAGGCAGGTTGTCGAACCCTGACTTTTGGCGGAGGCGGGTCGGTCAGTGCGCCCTCTGCGTCTTCCAAAGGGAATAACACCTCAAGCTGGAGGATATTCTCGCTTGTTATCGAACCGTCCTGTTGAGGAACCTCGAGATTGAGAAGTGCTGATATGCCTGGCTCGGCGATCTTTGGTGGTGTTTCTTCATCACCCTCGCACCATGTCCTCAGAGTCTCCACTAGTTGAGACGACGTAGAGTCCAAAGAGATGGCCTCATCTGATGAGTACATGGCTACCAGAAGGTCGACTTGGCCCAATTGGACCTCCATCAGGTCCTTTGGAAGGGCCACATTCTGTGATAATTGATTAGACGACATTTCGGTTGAAAAGACGCATATCGCGGCCAGTTCTAGCAATGGGGAACCCGGTTCAAGGAAAATAATGCATGAATCTGTCGTAACTCGTAAGGCAAGGGGAGGATTTTATCACTGTCAATCTCGCACATCCAGTCTGCTTCAAACAAACATAAAATGGAGGTTGAGCAAAATATGGAGGCAGTCACGTGTGGGCTATTTTTTTTCTCTTGTGCTAAGAGAGGTGACAAAATGTGGCACACGAGAAAATCTCCGGCATATCAAAGTTAGAGATATGGCACTTTTCCACGAACAAAAATAGTCATACAACCACCATATTTGAAATGATGGACTAAATTCCTCAGACCTTTATGTCCGATCGCTCAATGTGCAACTTTTGTTGATGAATATCAAAGGCTAAGTGCAATATTCAATGTACTACTTTTTTTGTCTTCTTTGAGGTATATCGTGGGTATACTGGGCTAAGAGTGTATATTCACAGATAACCGCACTGAAGGGTATCTTTCTCCTACTAGTGCTTATGTAGAGAATAGGTGTACCGTTTGGTGAAGGAATCTATACAACCAAGGTTGAATTGTCGTTGAGGTGCTTTGATGTTTATTCCTGCTAATACATATCAAAAGCGTGTCAGTTACCAATAGTGCCCTCAAAATGACCATCAGTATTGATTGAGTCGAATTTTTGTACCCAGATCCAAGAAATCTTCAAACGGAGCGGAGATCTTGTGAATTGCTCGCTATACGAATGGCCCATCAAAACTAATCATGAGGCTATCCCAATCAACTCCATCGATGTCCATATCAGTTCCGAGGTTCCCCCAGTCTATAGATTCAGGATTCGACGGCGAATCCCCGTATGTCCTCCCCTTGCTCATCCCCGAATTTGGCGTGAGAGGGAGGGCAGACTGGCCGCGCTCGAAACTAGTCGAGCGGACCCTCGGTTCATCTTGAGGCGTTGGAACCGGCACATTGTGCTTCTTCATAACCTGCCTCAAGAGTTCCAACAGTCGCTTCGCAAGTCCTGATTGGCTCCTCGCTTCTTCAAGGACGTTCCAGATCTGCCTCATCCGTGTACGGCTTTCCGACTTATCGGTAGACCCGTTTTTGAGACCCAGATCCATTAGTAGGACGAGCCCAGCAGAGAACAAGCTGTGAATTATCAAGCTGAGCTTGGAACATCGCAGTGCGAAACGGAACTGCTCTGTTCTTAGCAGCCGCTCCATTTCCAAGATATCCCCAGCAGCTTTGAGGCAAACTGTCCGCGAATAGGCATATGCGGGATCGAAAGTGCCGCGCACAAAGAAGGGGAGATGCAGCTTGCAGCGCTGGCTATATGTAATTAAATTAATAGTGTGCTTTTGGATCGTGATGTGAGCTCTGCGACGAGGACATGATGCCTCTTGTTGCGCGAGGCCGTCTGCGTCCAGGTGGACGAACTTGGGAATCCCTTGGAGGAAGCGGTCGATGGTGGCATCCAGCTCGAGGATGACACTATACTCGGCATGCGCCGGACCATGCGGCATCCGGTCGGATAGGATACGCATGAGGTTTGCCATGTCCACACGCTGCAGGAAGTACGAGCTGTGTGTAGGTTCCTCGACCGGTCTTCCGACCATCGTGCCGTCGTCGGTGAGATCTTCATCGTTGATATTTAATGGGCGGTTAACAGACATTTGGCTGGGTAAGACGGTATATGAGCCCTCATGTGGTCCAGAGAACCGCGATAGCATCCTACAATATTGATTATCAGACAATGTTCACGGGGAGAAAGCCAAAGGAGGAAAAATCATACCAATCAGTAGCGGCGAGATACCACCACACGCGCCGGCCAATCTCAGCTTGGATTCCAGTGTATTTTGGTACTTGGCCAGGCAAGAGGCGGCAGTCAATCCGATGGAGACTCAGCTCACGGGCCATGGTAATGGCCTGAGCTACAATCGTGCGGGATCGGATCGCTATTCCTTCCATATTCCCAATGATGAAGGTCAGCATCATAGTGGCCTGGATGGCCTCGATTGAGACATGCGAATTTCGATGGCCATGATCCAATACATCCAAGGTAGCCTTGGTCCAGAAGCTGGACTGACAACTGGCTTCGGCATCGCTCAAGTTAATGGCCGGCCTGGAAATTGAAGGAGTCCAAAGATAGGTAATATCTGCACAAACAGAGAGCAGCAGGGCAACCGAGCCCAAGTGCACTTCCGCTCCAGACTGCAAGCTATCATAAACTTGGTCAACTAAGAGGCGAAGCGCGGGGCCATGGGTAATGTGTTGGAGAAAGATGAGCTCTTCGATGTAGGCATTGACCAGCTCTTTGGCTTCTTCACGCTGGGGAAGCCAGATGCATCTTACTGGCTCCGGGAAGCTGCCACATGGTGGACTCTGGAAAATGTAGGGTGTTGCTGAAGGAGTAATTAGGCGTATGGGACAGATGCGGAAGACATAGGAGGAGTTTGAAAGGACGGATGTGTCCTACCAAGCATCAAGAAACCACGGCATTTAGCACCAACACAACCGGCAAGCAAGAACAACAGCAAAGCAGACTAGCTTACTTACATTGGGATTAGGGGAGTCAAAAGTGGATTGTTCAAGCAAGACGGCATCTGCATCCAGCTTGTGCGCGTTTGGAGGTAGAATGGGGGGTAGCACATTCTGTTGAGTCACGACCTTATCGCTCTGATGACTGCCCACCGATGACGGCGTGTCCACAGGCAATCCGTGGGCACTTTGGGGCTCTTTCGTGTGGGTGGCTAACAGAGCCTCTAGTCGCTCCAGGCGACTTAGAATAGCGCCGTCACCCGCACTCGAGGTCGGGGACAGTGAGCTCACAGCGGCAGCCAGAGCACTCACGCTCAATGGGGCCTGGTGGACATCCTTGTCATCGGTCGGATGGGGACACTGGCGGCCCCGGGATGTGCAGTTGGTGCAAGGAAAATCCCGAGAGCAGCGCAGTTTCCGGACTCGACAAAAGGAGCAAGACACGGGCCGCTGGCGAGACTGGCGAGGCATGGCTCTGGCGGCTTGGCTGGTTCAGAGGACGACAACGCTTGGCTCGGTGCTCCAAAGCAACCTCCGTCAATACTGCAGCATATGAGGACGACGGGTCTCTACGAGTCGGAGATTGGTGGCGGAGATGTGAAGCGGAGGTGTAAGACGGAGAGTCCGCGGACTTTCCATCAGTTTTCCATGGAGCATCCGGATTTAAGATTTGCAACCCCAGAAGACCCACTGGTAGATTAATCATCCCCAATAGTTAATTGAGTTTAGTGTTTTGTTTGCGTTGTCTAGTGAGCAATCTGACAGTGGCCCATGCGGGGGTTTGGTGAGTTGATGTTTCTGTTGACCGGAGAGAGACGTCGAGATATCGTGAAAAGGAAGAATAATTATTCGAATAAATTGGGGGAAATCAGAAGGCTTTTAGCAAAGCCAAGAACGGACAAATTGTAAGCATATTGGAACTTCGTCAGATTAGATGCACCGGCCAACGAATCGGACACTCAACCCTAGTCGCGGCTACTACACGATTGTGCCTCCTGATGCCTGCCCAGTCGGTCCCGCCTGTGCCGTCTTCCGTCTTCCGGCCTTTGTGAAAGCCCGGACGCAAAAGAAATAAAATCCGCCATGCCCCTCCTCGCCAAGCTGACCGTTCCCTTAGAGCTCTACAGATATCAAGCTCACCAAGGACTAGATCCGGCCTCAAAACCAAATCTACAACAAGCCGATGAAGAACGCATTCTGTCAAAATGGAGAAACAACAAGAAGGAGCTCTCGTGGTCGGTCCCATCCCGGACAAGGAGGACCTTGATCTAGAGACTGGCTCAACCGATATCAACTCACAAGCTCCCCAGCCGTCCACAGACCCCGATGTCGTGGACTGGGACGGCCCAGATGACCCGAAAAATCCAATGAATTGGCCGCCGCGGAAGAAAAACACCATCGTGGCGCTCATTTCTCTGATCACTTTCATCACGTCAGTTGTTCGACCACAAACGGCCCCTATTGATGATGTGTGGTATTCTAACAGTACCTAGACCTCTCGCATCTTCCGTCTTTGCGCCTGCTATTAACCAGGTCATGGCCGAGTTCAACTCCAAGGACGAACAACTGGCCTCGTTCATTGTCTCAGTGTATCTACTAGGATTCTGTTTTGGTCCCCTAGTCCTCGCTCCTCTGTCAGAGATGTACGGGCGGTTGTGGATTTACCACATCTGCAACGTGCTGTTTATCGTCTTCAACGTCGCTTGTGCCCTGTCCCCGAACCTGGCAGCCTTGATCATCTTCCGTCTCCTTGCTGGAGTCTTTGGGTGCTGTCCTCTGACCCTGGGTGCTGGCTCCATCGCCGATATCATCCCTCAAGAAAGACGAGGTGCCGCCATGGCTTTTTGGGCCATGGGTCCTATCCTCGGTCCTATTGTTGGCCCTATCGGTAAGAACCTAGAATCTTGGCTTATTTTCATGCTGTTAACATTGCTTTCCAGCCGGAGGATACCTGACGCAAGCCAAAGATTGGCGGTGGACATTCTGGGTTGTCGCAATGCTCGTGAGTATATATAGCAGCTCTCCAATAGCAGCCCAAGCCTCGACTAACTTGACCAGGCTGGCCTCATCACTATCATCGGGGCTGTCTTCATGCGAGAGACTTACGCCTACACCATCCTTGAGAAGAAGACCAAGAAGCTTCGCGCAGAGACTGGAAACGAGAAGCTCCGCTCAGCTGCAGACACCGGCGTGACCCCTCGAGAGCTCTTCGCAACCTCCATTATTCGCCCTACTAAGATGCTCCTATTCTCGCCCATTATCCTCCTCCTCTCTCTGTACATGGCCATTATATATGGTTACCTGTACCTCCTATTCACCGCCATGCCGACACTCTACGCGACCCAGTACGGATTCTCTACAGGATCGATCGGCCTCACGTACATCGGTGGCGGAATAGGTTCCATCCTCGGCCTGGCCCTTTCTGGTGGTATTTCAGATCGTCTCACGAAACGTTTGACGGCAAAGAATGGAGGGGAGCCAAAGCCCGAGTACCGACTCCCAACAATGATCATCGCATCTTTCTTTGTCCCGTTGGGCCTCTTCGTCTACGGCTGGACTGCTGAGAAGAACCTGCACTGGGTTCTACCCATTGTCGGCATGGGATTTCTCTCATTCGGAATGATGTGCGCATTTGTAAGCTGTCCCCTAAACCTCTTTTCTCTCGCTGAATTTCTCGCTAACAATCTCGAAGATGGGCATCTCCGTCTACATTGTAGATGCTTACACTCGCTACGCAGCATCAGCCATGTCTGCCACCACCGTTCTTCGATCACTGGTTGGAGCACTTCTTCCTCTGGTGGGCGGGCGAATGTACAATTCTCTAGGCTACGGATGGGGTACTTCCCTGCTCGCATTCATTGCCGTAGCCATGATTCCCGTTCCCATCGTCTTCCTCATGTATGGTGAGAAGATTCGACAGAAGACATTCTTCAACGTCAACATTTACTAAGTGGCGATCAACCCGATGCCACGCAACTCATCACAACTCTTCTCACTTATTCATGATATATAATCTAGATCTCATCACTTGTGGCATAAATTAGAGGGAAAAGGCGTTCACATGGGGAAATATTGGGCAAGTTGGTTAACTTACATAGAATGGGATCGTAATTCGGCATCCTAATCATCCATCACCTGATCAAAATATAATCAAAAGTCTTGCTATCGAGTCCGCTTAAAGAGAAATATGTTTAAACTGTTTTTACATTAAATGCTATGGATGTATCGAACTAAGATTAACTGGCAAAAAAGGAAAATGAAAAAACCATCGCTACTTGGTATCACTGTTAAGATTACTAACACATTTTCGTCTATTCCTCCTCGGGCATACCCGTTTCCATCTACACGAACTCGTACCGTGCATGAGCAACCGAATCGAAACTAGGAAGCTCTTCTTCCAGGACGCAATCAGACATCAGTTTTACGCCCGAAGGTTGCACAACCACCTGTAACGGGGCAGACAAGTTGAAGTTGACACCCCCAACACCGCCCACGTTGATTGTAAGGCGAACAGTATACGTTCGGGCGATGATTCTCGAGTAAAACGTCGGTAACATGAGCACGTCGCCAGCTTTGGAGGCTACAGAGACCTTCAGACTCGTCCGGAGAATGGATCCAAGGTCATCCTCCTTCTGTCCAGAAACCCACGGCTTTTGAAAGACGTCTTCGAATTCAATCGGTACTGAGGTTGTATAGCATAAAGGCTGGTATGCAATGGCTGCGGTTCGCGGCGGGATCATGTTGGGTAGTTTGGTCATCCCTGTATCGCTGAACCAGGTTTGCGACTCAATCTTGCCCGAAACAACGTTGACTTCTAGGGGTTTCGTGTCCGCCAGTTTGTTTGTCTTCAAAAGCTCATAACCAATGTCGATGTAGAGATTGTGGTCGTGATACGGGACAACACCGCCCCGAGGGTCAACCCTCAACGCTTCAGGCTCAGCCAATGTCGCCGTGACGTATCCAAGCTTCTTGAACAATGGTCCTCGGTGAGTCTTTCTCTTCTTCAGAGTGTATACCACGTTGTCTTCGCCCAACCCCGATGGCGGCTCCTCTGGGTGTGACGGAAGAATAGTGATAGTTCGGCTGGCAGCAATCTCACCGGTTATTTTGCCATCTTCCGTCTTCTTCGTAACTACAGCCTTGATCTCGTATCGAATCCTGCAGCACAAGGGAGACATGTCTCGCGCCTCCCATCCACCACCAAGCGATGGGGGTAACTTCTGCTGATATGACCTCATAACTCCCGTAGGTCGGTTGACAGTTGACTCTGTGACTGGGATTTCGTGCGGGATAATGAAATCAAATGGGATGGCGCGAGCGCAGCCAGCCTCGAAGGAATCGTATTGATCGGTCAGGGGAGAGTCCATGGCAAGAAAGGTGCAAGTAGTGACCCGGGGAGCAGGGACTGTTTCCATCAGGGTCTTGGCTGTGCCGATCAGGCTGACCTGCAAACAGGGGGACTGGATATCTTCGGAAGGGTAGACGATTACTTCGCCAGAGATTCGCGAGCCGCTTGTGTAGATTTTGCTTTCATAGTGACCGTCGATGTTCACCTCAGCACGGCCTTTGGTCCGGCTGGCCAATCGTATCTTGGAGCAAGGCATTTTTGTTGTATCTCTGGTGATGAATCAAACTGGGATTTTCTCGTCCTCCTCTTGAATAGTCGCACGTTGTTGCTAAGACATGAGATGAGGCCATCACAGGATCGCATATGGTTATATACAGAACAGGCCACTTCAAACGATGTGGAGCAGCCGCTGAAAAATTGACGACATTACGAGACATTATTCTGCAATCCTCTCCGACAAGAAAGAATACTGTTAGTCAATGACAACTGCCGCCCACATGGGCGATGAATCACATTCAACTGTGCGGCTGGGGGGGCAGACATCCCTCGACAGGTTCGATGGAGCACGGCCAGAGTCGAGCCAATGAAGAGAATCCCGCGCCGGAGAAAACAGAGAATTTGTTCCACAATCGTTCCACTCGTCAATGGCCCAGCCTGTGTCCGGCTCGGACAAGGCGCGCCTTACATGGACAAGTTACGCCCTGTGGCCAACATGGACACCACCAGAGGCATTTGACCTGCGTGACCAGCGCCCAATTGAATCCGCCGGATCGAGCCTTGTCCATCCACAGCTGATCAATCAAATGAGCCCTTGCAAGGTGTGTTTGGCAGCCCGCATACACGGCTGGCTGCATTCCCCTGGCCCACTGAGACCAACACTCCGAACACGCCGACCTTAGCTTCGTCTGAGATGATGACTGCTGGCTCAATTTCTCAAAGTGAAGCTATAGCTGCGGTGTCGCTGCATTGCTCCGATCGAAATGAGAATGGGTCGCTCCGAGTCATCACTCCCAACGCGCCGAGTCAGTGAGGAACTGTCATTCAGACTTTCCCCGAAATGAAGGCCAAAGAAATTGACCAGACAATTCTGGCAGCTTCTCATCAGCTATCGTGAGTCTCGAGATGTCAGTGAAAATTCAATTGGCGGTCGACGATGACACGCTCCAACAATTTCAACGACGCGCGTCCAAACACGTGATCCTTCTTGGCACTTGACGCTTCCACCATCAGATTTTGCGCGCAATTTGGAGTGAGACGGCGCGTCGTTCGGTAGAAGAGAAGAGCAAAAAAACAAGAGAAGGCAATTCGTTCCTTCGGCTACGCCAGATCCGAGTCCGCGATCCGGGACCGAGACCAGCGGACGGCACCCATCCACACTCCTCCTCCAGCTCTCTCGGTCCATCCCGTATTGCCACACCTCCCGCCGAGTCTCCCGCCTGCGCTATTACATACTACTTACTACATACATACCATAAAAACGGGCAGGGCTGCCGTGGCCCCGTGGCCGTACCGTATCCCGATGACGAGGTTCGCCCGCCTCGCAAGACTTCAATCAGTAAGGACCCGGCCGGCTCCATCCGCCATCTAACTCACCTCTTTGGACACGCCGGTTGATTAAACGTTTCCTCTTCCTCTCTCCCAGGGTCGTCTGGCACGGATCGATAGGCCAGCCTACGCACAGCGCGTCGTCTTTGTGGAACAGGCAGACACTGCCGCCAAGAAACAGTCCGGCTCCAGCAAGAACTCACGGCGGCGGTCTCACTCATCAGGACACGACGATGATGCCAAGGGCGGCTGGAAGTCACGGCTGCTGGAAGGCGGCGCGACAGCCTTCGGGTCCGTCGTGGTGCTGGGCCTGATCGGCTACTCGTATGAGATGTACTACAAGTGGCTCGTCCTCCAGAAGATGGACAAGGCCTTTGACGAGGGCTACTCGACGCCCGAGCTGGCCGCCCTGACGCGCCACACGTACGCCAACCTGGGCCGCAAGGTGGTCATCCTCAAGGACATGGAGGACGACAACTGGATCTCCCGCCAGGAGCAAGGGGTCATCGACGCCATCGTCGACGGCACCGCGCAGGGCCAGTACCATCTCATCACGGGCGAGAAGGGCACCGGCAAGACGTCCATGCTACTCAAGGCCATGCGCCGCATCGAGGGCAAAGGCATCGCCATGCTCGAGGCCCACGGCGACCTCGAGGTCTTCCGCCTGCGCCTCGGCAAGGCCCTCAACTACGACTTCCACGAGGACTACATCGGCAGCCTCTTCAGCTTCAAGGGCCCGCGCGACGCCACGCCCCTGCTCGACATTGAGCGCGCCTTCAACAAGATGGAGAAGATTGCCCTCCGGCGCCGCCAGCTCACGGGCAAACCGCTGCTGCTCATCATCAACCGCGCCCACCTGCTGCGGGATGATGACGAGGGGCGCCACCTGCTCGAGGCTATCCAGCAGAGGGCCGAGCTTTGGGCTGCCAGTATGCTTGTCACGGTTGTCTTCATCAGCGACGAGTACTGGATCGAGGAGCGTCTACGGCCGCATGCCACTCGGATGCGGGTGCTCCCTGTCCACGACATCTCGCGAGACACGGCGGTAGATGCCATCAAGGAATTCCGAGCACGCGTCTTCCACGAAAAGGTGACGACGGAGGCAGTGGAGAAGGTCTATGCCAGGGTCGGAGGAAGGCTACGCTTCATCAGCCAGGTAGCAAAGGCGGTCGACATGGACCTCGCTTCCAGAACCATCGTTGAGAGGGAGAAGCAGTGGTTCCTCAACCAGTGCTGGATCCTCGGCAAGGAGATGGACCCCGAGGCGGAGAAGCAGCAGGATTTCTGTATGGCGGCCATGGTGCTGGCCAAGGCCCTTGTTGCCAAGGAGGACGAGATGAAAAAGGATGGGACCATCAGCCCGTTCGCCCTGCCCGAGCTTCCGCTGCACGAGGCGCGGCAGATCATGACGCGCTTCGACTTCATCCAAGCCCACGATCACATCAACATCTTCTCCATCGACTCCAACTCCAAGGTCCGCGCCGACTCGGTCGCCATGCAGAATGTGTTCCGCGAGGTGGTCAACCAGGAGGGCTTCCAGGAGCTTTTGGATGAGACACAGGAGCGTCTGGATGAGCTGGAAGCCCTGGGGCGGACGAGGGAGATCACGCTCAAGGACTTGGTTGGGGGTGGAGGGTACAATGCCAGCGTTAAGGATGGCTCAGCAAAGCAGGCAAACATGGTCATTTCGTTCAGGGCTGCCCCAGATCCTGACCCATAGACTTTGCTATCACCATTACCCACTACTCGTTCTCTTTTCCTGTTTTTTTGCCCTCCACCTCCGGTAAAATGAGCAGTGGCTGGGCCGTAGACCAGATGAGGCATGTGATGTACGCAACACGCAAGTTGATCCAACAACACGAGCCAGACAATGTTATTATCCGCCAAGCTTGCCGACCTATACTGTCCGATATCATGAGGTGTCGTGAGCCGAGCCTAGAATTGGTCCATAGATAGACTGATTTGCCCACCAGCACAGCACAATGGAGACTGCCCAGGGGTCCAACTGCTGGTAGCGAAGAAGGTTAGCCGTGACCGACAGCTGACGGCCACCTATATTTGTGTTCCCCTGCGCCTTAACAGAGTGTTTACTAATGAGCAGATTCCAAAAGGCCCAACTAAGGCTGCCATCGACCTAAACAAGGTGTCACTGGGAGCGGATATGGTTCATCCACATGTGTAGATCACAAGTAAGCCGTAGCGTAGCGTGGAGGAGAACACCATGAGGTCCACCGGTGATTATCAATAAACCAACTCTACCGAGGGTGTGAGTTCGCACGTGGCAGAGAGACGATCGGCGGTAGTTTCCAGGGACGGTATGTGAAAGAGCACAAAGACGGCCCGTGGCTGGCTTAGCCACGGCTGCATATCAAAACACATGGCTCGCATCATAGCAGACATACTACCAGCAACGAGCCTCCCAGACTCAGCAAGAAGTTGACGAGCGAGCGAGAGTAGTGGAGAACACTTGATTCTCTAAGCATTCCATTAATTAGTCCGATCCACAGTCTCATCTCACCGCAGCCACCAGCCTACGCTACTCTTCAAGACCCATAGAGTCTCGTTTTTTTACGAGTGAGAAGGGAAACAGGCGGCGGTGGATGTTGCATAGTACGTTTGAAGGTTGCGTTATCTAGCTGGTTCTCACTGCAGCGGCCTGGCTGCTGACATTTGATTGCAGAGGACCAACCGGTTGCTATATCAGACTCGTCTTGCCCATATCACGGCCACCCTAGCAAATGAAGATCGCCCTTCCATTCACCCGCGCCATTGGATGACTGATCTGTGTCCGTACCAGAGAACCAGTTTGAAACCGTTTGGTGACATTCATTCCGAGACGGCTAATGACATACAAACACGGGGTTGGGTCTGTGGCTCGCGGCGTGTCTGCCCTGTGAATAGCGGCACCAGTGACACTCTGCACTACCGAGCCAAATGCCCTCGCGACGGTACCTGATTTTCGCATGATGAATCATCCACCAGGGCTCGAGCTAGCCGGGGAATAGTCTCGCTAGCCCGTTGACTCGAGGGGTCTAGCATAGCGACGAGCGATGGAGCGACTCCTTTGATGCTGGATGAGATGATAGGGGCGGCACCGTCAAAACAGCGGCAGGGCAAAAACGTGGCACGCGTCCCATCACTTATCACACAAGGCAGACGGTCCACCGAGATCCCCTTTGTTGAATCATGCAGCCCCTGTCGCGCAACGGGGTCCAAGTGGGTGGGTAGGGCTTATATCCGATGCCAGTCTTATGATCGACAGAGGCACCGGGTTCATCTCTCGGTCAGTTTTTCTTCGGCCCGCTCGTTGGGCTGAAGTATTGAACATGGCAGACTAGAAGTAGATGTGCTTTTGAGACAAAGATGCAAGTCTCCTGCCTCGAAATGCCCATTGGCGGCTTCACCACCCAACTGATGCAGATGCCCTGTGGTGCCCGCCCGCCGTGTTGCATCAGAGTATACAAGAGCTGTGCCATACCTGACTCGAGCTCAACAGATCATACAAGGCTACCCTTGCTTCTCGGTATCTAACCTAAAGCCTGGTGCGATGAGTCATGAGCTAATGGGTAGCTCAACCACACGTGGAACCTGGCCAGCCATCAAACCCTCCGGTAGGTATTTGCTTCCTGTGTTGACTCGCCGCGCCCTCTCGCCCTGCGACAATCAGCGTCAGGTAGCGCGAGTCCGGGCAGCCGGGAATCTTCGGCAATGTCTTGGATCCTGGTCGCGTGGGCAGAGAGATGCGGCTAAGGCGTCAGATAGATTTGGTGTTCAGTATTGCTTCGTGGGCGCCAGTTCTCGGTGCGCTGTTTTTCGCTTTTTCGCTGCCTTCTCCTTGAGATTCTTTTCTCCAGTCCCCGGAAAATCACTGGGGTTTGGAGACGGTCAATACGTAGGTCATTCATGCAGATGGGGAAAATGGCACCTCGCCTGCAGAGGGCATTGACAGGACCAGGCATCCCAATCGACAGATCTATGGCCGCGGTCAATGCTTGGAGTAAAAGACGCAGAGCAGAGGCGGGCTCCAAAGTTCCAACGTGCCTTGGGCTGATCTGGCAGCCTCTCGTGTGTAATGACCCCATCCACCGTTCATTCCACTGGCCGTTATTTGCTCCTTGCCACTCGCTCAGAACTAGCCGATGGGACCAACAAGTGGATTCTCTTTGTTTCCAAGATGTGCACTCATCCTGGTCCCCGTCGAGGAGTGTTGGCGTCGGTAAGTAGCGTATAGAGGGCAGTCTCCTGCAGTTGCTCGACGGTCAGGGTCCCTGGAACCAAGGAGATGCTCCGCCACTGCCTTCCCTGATTCTCTGCTAACCTGTTCCTCTTTCTCCTTTATTTTCTCTATCTAGACGCTAAAAGTAACAGGAAGCCATCAGCACTTGGTGGTATCCATCAGTGACCCTTACTCCTCGTGGCTGACGAAAAGGGATATCCGATCCAAGCGTCTGGAATCTCCCCCCGCGAGCAGTTCGTCTGGACTGGATGTTTAACTGGGCCAGATCCCCAGCTCTCGAGAAAAAGAAACAACACACATCCACTAGTCCTTTCCACCTCCCGTCCTGCTGCGAATCGGTACCCTCGAATACACAATGGACGAGAGTGAGAAGGCCGCCTTGGCCTCCTTCTCAGCCGAGGCTTTCAGCTACCTCAGTCTCGGTATCGCCGTCATTCTTCTCCGCACATTCACTCGAACCCGGCAGGTTGGTATCACGGGTCTCACGGCCGACGACTACTTCATGCTTCTCACGATTGTGCCCTACACCACTGAGACAGTCCTTGCGCACGCCGTCGGTCAGCAGTTCAATGGATTGACCAATAGTGGCATGACTGATGCCGAGCGTGCTGCTCTTTCTCCCGATAGCGAAGAGTGGGCTTGGAGGTTTGCTTTCCCCTAGAATTGCATATTCCTATGGAAGAACAAGCTGCTGACAGGTAACAACAGAGTGGCAGGGTCAAAGGTCCAGATCGCAGGCTGGTGCATGTATGCATCAGTATTGTGGACAATCAAAGCCTCCCTGTGCGCCTTCTACTCGCGTCTAACGGTGAGTGTTTCCCAATCAAAACATTGTTGATCAAGTACTGGACTGACAGGCCATCTTGTAGGACGGTGTTCACGGCTACCGCGTTCGAATTCTCACAGGATACGCAATCATCGGAGTGACATATCTTGTCGTTATTCTCACCTACCTGTTGAGCTGTCAGCCTTTCAGCCACTTTTGGCAAATCTCCCCCGACCCAGGGAGTAGGTAGAATCAAATCAAAGGCTTCGTTGCGGCTTCTGCTAACCATCCTCGGCTCCAACCAGACCTCTGTCAGCCTGCTCTATCCAAGGTGTACGTCCTCCTGTCGGTTACTCTCAACATCGCAACCGACGCCTACCTCATCCTCATCCCCGTTCCTATGCTCTGGGGGACTCAGCTTCCCACCTTTAAAAAACTCACGCTCGTCGTCGTCTTCTCCGGAGCCCTGTTCGTCATGGCTGCCGGTCTTTTACGCGGCATCCTCATCCTCAAGGTTCGTCACCCAGATTCCCATTCCAGCATAACGGAGGTTTCTACGCAATGAACACTGCTAACCGACACCCTATTCAGAACCCCATCGACGGCCCCAGAGAAGGCTCAGCCTGGGCCGTGCGCGAGTCCTTCGTCGCCGTCGTCACCTCGTGCCTCCCCATGATCTGGGGCTGGCTCAAGATCAAGCTCAAGCCCTTCCTCGGCTCCCTCCTCTCGTCCCAGTCCAAGAAGAACGGCCCGGAGCCGGGGAGCATCATGCTCGGGGACACCAGCGACGGCTCCGCCTGGCGCTCGGGCAACCGCACGGCCACCGCGACGTCCCGCAGCATCACCACCCGCGTCTTGCCCGCCGCCGAGCGCAGCAGCTCCGACCTCAGCCTCAGTCCCAAGGCCCTAGGCGGCATCACGAAGCAGGTTGCCATCTCCGTGTCGTCTAAGAAGGCTGGAGATGCGACGGACGCGGGGAGTGACAGGAAGGTGCACACGCAGCTGAAGCTTGATAACAAGTGGTCATAGAGTATCGAAGCATCATTAATTTCTTTGTTGGGGGGGATGGGAGTATATACCACGCGGCACGGGATGGACACGCCTTATACACGACTTCACATGGCATGTTTTGAAATGAAAAGACGCGGGCAAGGACGCCTACGACCAGGACAAGACAGGTGTTGGGAGAAAATAATTATGATTTAACCATGTATATATTAATAACACAAGCAGGAAAAGGCTACAATCACTACCAGTAAGCTAACAAAGAAGAGCAAGTGAAACACATCGACTCTTCGCGATCGATGTCCGTCTCCTCCAGGCATTACGAGCTGGTAAATGACGAGCTGCCACATACAAGACCATTGAGAGCCTCGACACCCTCTACTCAATCTCCGAGCCAGTATGAGGCCTACTTCTTGCCGGCCAGCCAGCCTCCGTCCACGTTAAGCAGCGTCCCCGTCACCCATCTGGCTTCGTCACTGACAAGGAACAGCGCAGCGCCTACAAGGTCGCTTGGCTGCCCTATCCCCAGCGGATGATTGGCTTCGAGCCGTTCCCTGTTCGCAGATTTGACTGTATTGACAAAGATTGCAGTATCGGTATCTAGAAATAAAGAAATATATCAGACTCAGTCTCTTTGAACGAGTGAGATACTTACATCCGGGACAGATGGCACTGCAGTGGATGCGCGACGCAGCGTAATCGAGGGCCACCTGCTTCGTCAAGAGTGCCACAGCTCCTTTTGATGCATTATAAGCCGCTGTTCAAGGGCTGTCAGAATCATAGAATATGAATCTCCATCTGATACTCCGGATAGAACTCACGCATGCAGTAGCCGCCGGTGAGGCCGTATATCGAGCACATATTGACGATCCATCCTCTGTCGCCCGACGGCAGCAGATCCTGCTTGAGCATCTGTGCCGTCGCATACTTACATCCCAAGAACACGCTCTTGGTATTAATAGCCATGGTGATATCAAACACCTCTTCAGACGTCTCGTGGATCCGAACAAGTGGCCTCCCCGCCTCGAGTGACACACCGGCATTGTTGACGAAGCTGCTGCAAGTTCAGCAAACGCTCCTCATCTCCATTTCGATGGAATATAACACTTACACATCCAGTCTCCCGTACTCCTCCACAGCCTTCTGAACCAGCGCCTCCATATCGACGGCGTTGCTCACATCAGCGCGAACGAATATGGCCCGCCCCCCATTCTGCACAATCAGAGAATCCGTGTTGGCCTCGCGCTCAGCCGACACGTCCACGCGAGCCTCGGGCTGGAGGTCAGAGCAGACGAGAAGCCCTCCCTCACGAGCATACGCGAGGGAGATGGCCCTTCCTATACCAGAGGACGAGCCCGTGACGATGCAGACTTTGCCTCGAAGTCGGTCTGTGGCACCCATTTTGTTATTATTGTCAGTGAATCAGCTAGCGGGCGCGAGAGGAATGGAACGGACCAAGATTGGATTTTATATCTGCGGGATCGGGTATCAATACCCTTCCGGCCACCTAATTAAAGTTTCTTGATTGCCATTTTTGATCTTCTGCATGAGATTGAGGGGCAAAGGAAGGAAAGGAGAAGATCACGTTCACTCATGCAGGACATATGTGATGGCTGATTCGCCAGGTTCCGTCTCCTCGGGAACTCCAGAAGGCAACCCTCACGGATAATTACAAATGTTCAATGTGAATTAGCAATCATTGGGACATCTTCTCCGATGGGACAATGTGTTATAAGCAAAGATAAAACAAACATGGTGATTGATGCAAACACTGGCACGTATCTCCCATGATTACCAACAGCAATCCACCACTACCTACATCCCGTTATATCTCGATCTACTCTCCCATGTTCTCGCCTGTAACACACATGCAGGCAGAAGCACCCTGTACATTGGCTCCCTTAGGCGGGGGTGAGGTCGCATCCCTCTACACACGGTCTGGGGATCGGCCAATCCAGCCTTCACTCCGTATCACCAGCACCCTCCAGCAGATACTGCAGCTCCCGCAGACTGTTAATCCGCGGCCCATCCACCGTAAGAGAAACATCCAGCGCCTCGGCATAATGGATGGAGAAGATACCCGCCGCCGTGGCCATCCGCACATCTCGCTCCTCATTGTCCCCGACGAAGACCATATCCCCCGGCGAGATGCCCAGATGCTCCAGCACCTTGCCAAACATCCCGTCCGTCTTGCTGGCCCGGAAGCGGTTCGTCGTGGCCAGGAAGTCAATGTGCCTGGCCAGTCCCAGTGCCTCGACCGTGCGCTCCTGCGCGTCCTGCGGCCCTTCGGTGATGACCACAATCTTCTTGCCCAACCTTTTCAGCGTCTCAAACAGCTGGAGGGCACCCGCCTTGAGCTCAAATGACCTGGTCAACGTCGTCTCGTATACCTGGAGCAGATGAGTGAGGAACGTCTCGTCATCGGACGGCAGAGAGAGGCGTGAGAGCACAGCCGTGAATCGTTCCCTGCGATAATCAAACGATGTCTTGCCATCGGAGAATGCATTGGCCGTCTTCTCCTTGAGCACCTGAGAATGCGTCTCTTTCAGCAGCGCGAGATCAGCGCCGGTCTGATCCGAGATTGCTCTCAGCACCGCCTCGACCGCCGCACTCGAAGCACGGCGAAACTCATGCAGAGTGTCGTCCAGATCAAACCCAAACCACGGCTTCTCCAACAGCAGGGCCTGCAATCGTTCAAGTTCGTCGCCCATTGCTCGAGGTTGTGACCTTAGGCCGGCTCGTTTAGTTTGTGTCAGGTCTGATCATGATGCGCAATAATCGCGCGCGACAGCTCAGGAGGGTCAAAAAGAGGATTGCGACGCATTAATAATCGATATCCATCCATTCTACTAGTATTATCACAGCTCGGAAAACAGTCATAGCCCTGTATACCCTCAATTTTAGTTTGATTAACAGAGAGTTAGTTTCTGAGGCAAATAGTACAAGCCAGATTCATAATCTCACGCCCTTTTTGATGTTCCTCAACATGTAAATCACCTCCATCTCCCATCCGACCCCACTGCATTTGTCTGATCGTTTGTGTACAAAGAGAATTAAAATAAAGAAAAAAGATGCATAGTAAAAGCTGTGCGATGGTATAACAAGTTCCAATCGAATCCCGATTCAAAAACACGTAAATCCTTAGTGAGCGCCCCTGGGCCTCTTTGCACCACCTCCAACTTCCGAGTCACCACGCGGACGCTTGTTTCCCGGCTGGAAATCGGAGGCTCCTGGATTCATTCCTCCTCGGCCCCCTCGTGCGCCGCCTCGACCTCCTCGGCCGCCACCAGGCTGTGGTAACCCGCTGTCGCCTGCGCTGGCATTGCGCTGCCCTGGCGCGACGTAAGTGCCTCGTCCACGGCCTCCGCCTCGTGGCAATGGAATACCTGTTCGGCCTTGCTGCCCTTGTTGCGTGTTGGCCTGCTGACCCGATTTATTATCCTGTTGTTGGGTCGGTGGCCGCTGTTGAGTCTGTGCTACAGGTGTTGCAGGATCCGCCGGCTTAGTTGCAAACGGATTCGGTGCGTTTTTGTCTGCCGAGTCTGCAGGCACAGCAAAGGGGTTGTTAACTTGGCCCGGTGTGCTCGCAACAGGTGCAGGCACTGTTGCCGCAGGAGTCTGTTGACCAGCTGGCTTGGGAGGCAGGGGTGCTGCCAAGGTCGGGACCGTAGTTGGGCTTGGAGCCCCAAAACCTGCAGCTGGCTTCGCGGATGTTGGAGTCGATGGCCCGCCTGCGGTACCGGCAGTAGATGCCTGTCGAGCTGGCGTTGGACGGGCTCCAGCTGCGGGTGTTGCTGGCGGCGGTACCGTTGTCTTAGCAACTTCCCAGACCTCAACAACGGGCTTCTGTGGAGTCTCTTTCGCTGCCGTTTCGACAACGCCAATCTTTGCACTCGCTTGCCTGAGCTTATTTTCGAACATGTTGATTCGAAGAGTAGACTTCTTGGACTCGAGGAGCTGCGCTTGTTCCCGAGCCGACACTATCTTTGCCTCGTACTCAGCAACCGTCTTGGCTTGCTCTGATTCGACCTTCTTTTTGATGTTTGCAGCGATGATGCTCTTAACAGTAGCATTAGACGCCAAGAAGCTCCGCACAGACACGTCGTCGAGGTGTGACAGATCAACCGGTCCGTTGGTGCTTGGAGCCGCTGGCAAGCCTCCAGCAGGAGGCTCCGTCTTGGCCGGGGTGGACGGTGGCTGCTCTCCTGGCTGAGCTGTTGAAGAGTTTTCGGCCAGCCAGATCTGCTTTTCTTGTTCAAACTTGAGCTTGAGGTCTTCGCTCTTGCCCTTAAACTCCTCTTCCAGCTTGGCTTTTGAGTCTCTAAGCCGATTATTAAGCTTCTCCATCATGCGGTCAGAGCGCTCCTTGACAATGCTACTAATCCTGGCCTCAATGTCTGCAGCCTTCTGTTCACTTTCTGCGGCCTTGGTCTCAGCTGCTGTGATCTTGTCCTCCAGCTGTTTCTTCTCGGCCTCAGATAGTCCAGATGCAGTATTGGGCTGCAGAGGCTCAGTAGTTGCTTCGCCTGTGTTGTCGGCCTGATCGGCAGATTCTGCTCCAGGTACTTTGGCGGAGGCAGCGGCCTCTTGGAGACTGCGTACAGCTTCGTCGCGCTCGGTGATGGCTGATTGCAGTTGGGAGCGAAGGAGCTCGAGTTGCTGTTCTGTTTCCTGTTTTTGGACGCCAACGCTCTCGAGTTCTTGACGTGCATCCGCAAGCTGCTGCTCGAGCTGGGTCTGACGAGCTTCGTCTGATGCTGCCGACGTTTCCGCAGGAACTTGGGTCGGGACGGCGGCGGGCGGCTGGGTTGCTGCATTTTTAGCCTCCTGGACTTGCTGCTGCAACTGGGCTACCTGTGTCTCGTGATTTTGCAACTGCTGTTTGAGTCCAGATTTTTCGCCGTTCAATTCCTCTACTTGGGTCCGAACCAAACTCAATTCTTCGGTAGCCTTGTCCAGCTGCTCTTGCAGTTGAGTAACACGCTGGTTGGCTTCATTCTTCTCTCCTGTGAGTCTCTTCGATCGGTCCTTGAATTGCTCTACCAACCTGGCTCGAGCGTTGACCCAGGACGCCCGCTCAGACTCAAGCAATGCCTCAATCTCGGAAACCTTGTCCTTGAGTGGCTGCTCGCCCTCCTTCAAGCTCTGATTCTCCGTCTCCAAAGTAGCGACCTTCTCCTTAAGACCCTCCAGCTCCGCAGGGTCTGCCCGGCCGTACTTGGTGAGGATGCCTTCGGTCCGCTTCTGCCAGCGATCACGGTCCTCTTGAACTTGTTTGATCTCCTCCTCCAAGAATGACTGCTGACCCTTGAGGCTCTCAATCTCAGCTTCCAGGGGCTGAATCTTAGCCTCCATCTCCTCAACCAATTTGGTCTTCTCCGTGACAGCGTCCTTCATCCTAGCATTCTCATTCCGAAGCATCATGCTACTTTCGCGATAAAGGTTAAGCTCATTGAGCTTCTCCATCAAATCGTGATGTGACATTGACCCTCTGTTGTTCTGAGATGCCTGGCTACGCTCTTGGTCCATCTTGAGCCTGGCTTCATCGAGCTGAGTCTGGGTATACTCAAGTTGCTGCTGGAGCCTCTTTGCCTCTTGTGTCTTGAGATCGTATTGGACTTCAAGTATTTCCTTCTCGCGCCTCAGATAGCTGTTGAGCTCGCGCAGTCCTTCACTGACATCACCAAATGTAACGGGCGACATCGCCTCATCATTGTCTTCTGATGATCGGCTTTGCTGAAGACTCGTCACCTGTGCGGTGAGACTCTCGAGTTGCTGATGAAGGAGCTTGTTCTGTGCATTAACATCCTCTCTTCTGGCCTTCAGCTCCTGCATCTCTTGCTCCAAGCGTTGTCGCTGATCTTCCCATGACCCCTCGCTCTGTGACAGTGCTACCTTGGCGGACTCAGCCTCAGCTCGCAGAGAGGCGGATTCACTCTTCAACTCGTTAAATTCTGTACGCAATTGCTGAACAAGCTTTGCCGCCTCAGCATGCTTGACAAGTTCCTGCTCATAATCCTGCTGGGCCTTTGAAGCGATTTCAGCCTGGGCACGCAAGTCCTGTTGGTGGAATCGCGCAGCCTCCACATGCCTAGAGCTCTCTTCCTTAAGACGGTTTAGCTCCTCCTCCAGAATGGCTTTCTCGTCCTGGAATCGGCGGGTAACTTCTCCCTGGGAGTCTCGCAAGGATGAGAGCTCCGTGTTGGTCTGGGATAGTTCAGACGAAACGTCATCAATGCGTTGCTGTAATTCCTTGATCTTGGCGTTCTTCTCCTCAACAATAGCTTCCATTTCTTGCTGGTATTGTTCTTGTGAAGAACGGAGATCTTCCAAAGCCTCCTCGTTGCTCTGGCTGAGTTCTCTGTATTGCTCTGCCTGAGCCTTGGCGTTGTCCAGGTAGGTCTTCGCCAAATCCAGCTCACGCTTGAGATCTGACACTTCATTGTTCAGATCTTCAAGCTCGGCAGCCGCATCCTGCTGCTGTTGGCTGCTTTCCGCTGTCGAACCTGGTCGAGGTGTGGGACGAGGCTGCAATCTGCCGACTCGCTCCTCCGCATTGCGCAGCTCGACCGTTAACTCATTCACCCGAGCTTGGAGATGATCACGGCTGGTCTTAGTGGCCACATGCTCCTCGCGAAGCTGGCTCAGACTTGCCATGAGCTCGTCAATACGCTTCTGGGCCTCCTTGCCCTCGTATTCTTTCCTCAATTGCACATTCTTGGTCTCCTCCGCCTCTTGCGTGAGCTTTCTGTTCGTGTCGGCCAGTTCGCGTTCCAGAGTTTCCACGCGGGCTTGAGCTTTACGGCGAGCCTCAGATTCGGCCAAGGTGCGCTCATTCTCGAGAGATTGCTGGGTGGAGATGATGTTGTTGAGGCGATTTTTCTCCTCAATCAACGTCTCGTTGTCTTTGGTCAATCTTTCATGGATATCGCTCCAAAGTTTCTTCTCTGCCTTCAGGTTGGCAGCCTCGTTCCGCATGCTATCGAGGAGACCCTTGGCCTCGACGAGCTCCTCGGCAACCTGCTGAGTGCGAATGTCTTGCTTTGCAGCCGCCTCGGACAGGATTTGGCTACGCTTCTGCAACTCGGCGTTCTGGGTCTGGAGGGCGACATAGTTGCTCTGCAGCATCTCTCTCCTCTCCGACTCAAGCTTGACCTCACCTTGCAGCTTAATCTTGTCGGTCTGAAGCGAGTTCTTCTCCGACGTCAAATTATCTACTTTGGTGCGGAAATCGGTGCGTACCCCCTCTTGTGCGCTCCTGTAGCCGTCGAATTCGGACTGGAGTTTTCGAAGAGCCTCGTTCAAGGCCTCGACTTGCTCACCCGGTTCGATGGTGGAAAGCGGCAGGCGCTGGCTGTCGCTAAAGGAAGCTCGAAGCATGGAAGAGTCGTCTGCCACAGCTCCCCTCTGTTGAAGAATACGGCGGAACATGTCACGCTCATTCTTGCAGCTCTCTATGACTGCCCTCATTGAGTTCGTTTCATCCGCCATGTGAGAAAGCTCTTGTTCCAGGCGCTGGACCTTGTCGTGATCCTCCTTGGCCTGGCGTTTTGCCGCGATGACTTCGTCACTGTCCATCTGTTCAGCTAGTGTTCGAATGGTGGCGGCGTTCTCCTCATTCTTTTGCTGGAGAGACTGAATGTCTTTGAAGACGACAAGTCTTTGGGTAATGAATTGGTGAGTGTCGGACATGTCCGACAGGGCTTCCTCTGTGATCTCACCCCTAGACAGCTGCTGTAGACGAATCTTTTCCTCCTCAGAGAGCTGATCCATGCCCTTCTCCATTGCATAGATGTTGAAGACAAGCATCTGGATCTGAGTTCCCAGATCTCGTACCTGCATGCGCAAGATTTTGGCTTCAGACTGGGCAGTCTGCAAAGCATTCTCAGCCTTTCTAGCCGCCTTCTTGGCGTTATCACGCTCTTCAAAGCTTTTCTGAGAGAGTTCCGACATTCGTGTAATTTCGGTTCGCAGCGTCTCGTTTTCGGACTGGAGCTCCTGGAATTCGGGACCCTTGGCCTCGAGCGCGGCCATCATATCGTCAATGTCCTCGCGTAGCTTGTTGTTCTTACGCCTTTCCTTGGCCAGCTCATCCTTCAATCGGAAGGCTTGGTCGATGGCTTGGGTGGCAGTCAGGGCAGACTTGCTGCGGATGGACCCAGGTGTGGCAAAGGGGGACGAAGGACGGCCGAGGGCTGCACCGTTTGGTCGAGGGGTTTGTGGTCGCGAAGAGGGCAGGGCAAACTCAGGTCGGGTCTGAAGCTGGTCAATCTGTGCCTCGAGTTGGGAGATCTTTTCCTCGAGCTCGGTATTGGCTTGTCGCTCCTGTTCGAGTTCGAGTCGTAGTCGGTGAATCTCATTCTCGTAGTTGTCTTTCAGCCGCTCCTTCTCGCTTTCCAGTTCGCTCACTCTCTGCTGATGCTTCTTGCTGAGCTGATCAGACATGTCAACAAGCCGCCTTTGATCCCCGAGTTCATGCTTGTAGCTCTCGACAGTCGTCGCGAAGGCGGCCTCCTGCTTCTGGAGTTTCACAAGTGCTTCGTCGGCCTTTGCTTGCATGGTGCTCAATCGGTCACGCAGTTGCTGCTCTCCACGCTTGAGGGAATCGATATCGGCTTTGGCGTCCTCATTTTGTCGCTGAAGTTCGGCAATCCGTGCTCCTTTTTCCTTTCTATACTTGAGGCCCTCCTCGCTCTTCGTCTTGAGCTCGGACTCAAGCCATTCGGCGTTCCTGCGGGCGAGAGTAAGCTGCTGCTGAAGCGACTCCTCACGGTATTTCGCGCTGCTCAGTTGCCCCTTGGCATTCTGCTCAGCTTGCTGCAAAGAAGTGATTTCACGCGACAGTTCCGAGTTCTTTTGATGTTGCTTGGTCAGCTCCTCGGACAACGCCTGGTCACGCTTGTTATTCGACTCGATGATGCTAAGACTCGTTCGGTTTGATGACTGTAGCGTCTCAATCTTGTCGTTTAGCGCCTTGAGCTCTGCTTCGTGCCCGGTTCCCTTGGTCTTGAGGGATTGTAACTCGTTCTCGAGAGAAAGTCGGGTTGTTTCTACTCGAAAAAATTTGGTCAGTTCAAAACGATCTGCGATCAACAGTGTGGAATGGTGATCGGGGCGGTGGTAGCTTACCCTCTTCTTTGAGCTTCTGGCGGGCTTCCTCCAAATCTTTGAATGCCTTTTCGGTGGATTCTCGCGATGCTTGGGATATGGACTCGGCACCTCGCACCGCGTTTTCGTACTCAATGTCGATCTGGAGCTTGGCGGCATACAACTCGTCGAATTCATGCGCCTTGGTCGCAACCGCCTGCAGTAGTGCTGTTACAAGGTCGAGAGTCGGCTCGGTGGCGAGACTCTGTACAACAGGCTCGTCGAGGCCAAGGTGGCCTGCGATGTAGCCAACGTCCACGTCGGCAGCAGCCATCCTGAGCAAGCTCAACTAGTCTAGAATCTCGTCATCACTCGGCTCGGCCAGGAAAAACAAGGCGATGCGAAGGAGGTGTGCAGCTCAAAAGAAAAGCGAGATGCTCAGAATCTAAATTGCTAGGCGCCCTGGGTGGTGATGTGAAGGAATGAAGGTTGGGCTGAAATTGAAGGTGGAGGATGGAAATGAAGAAAGCGAGAAGAAGCTGACTTTGGATAAAGCTGCTTCGCGCCTGCCAAACGCCAAACAATGCAAGCCTTGGGGTGATTTGGTTGGTCGTGGCTGCCAAAGAGCACAGGCCAGACGTGCACAGACCACCTGGGCGCGCACAACTCTGTGCACAAAGCGTGCACGGACCGTATTCAAAGGTTAGTGCAATTTTGATCGCTGCACAATTGAACACGCAGGTACCAGAACCTGAGTCATCTCGCAAGCCACTGTGCCTACCCTATACCGTTGGATTTTAGAATGAAGGTTCTATGTATCATCCTCTTTTGATGCATGCTATAATCGGATATCGCTTTGATCCAGCTTATAATCAATTTGCCTGTGTTGTATTCATCATTTAATATCACGCTTGAGAGTATCTCGGACATAGGTGGGCAGTTTTTGAAGAGGCGAAACTTGGGGCGGTGTGATCATACACAAAGCCTCGATCCTTTATCATTGCCTTGACAAAAGGCTTTGTTGCATGTTTTCTTCGACTCAACTCCATGGACTTTGATTTCGCCTCACCCCAGTTAGCTCCCTACCTCGTCTACCGGTATTGCATTGTTTAGGTCAAAATCTACCCAACGGTAACCCGACATGCCGAGTAGCAGTACCTACCCACGCATGCCACGTACAAGAACGAACAATCTAGGAAGGGAATGCTGTTGCTTCTGTTTACTTGGCCAAAGCCGCGCTTAATAATTACTTAGCAAGTTGTTCTCAAAATTTCAGTTAACTAATACTGGGAACAAATTAAAAGTTCTTCTCGTTCTTAGAGTTTGAAGGCCAGGCAGCCCTGTCGCTGATCTGATGAGGACCTCCGACACCGCAGGGCGAATTTCTGGTAATAAGGTAATACTCACCGATCAGTAACGGCACCTGTGCTCTTAAAACGTAGAAGGGGAACAAGAGAACTCATCACAAGATGACACCGAATCGGACAAAATACATTTTTGAATTGATTTAATTTATACATGTGAATTTTTCATTGCCTCGCTCATCGTCATTGCCGTCGCGCAGGCTGGGCATCCATTTCATACGTCTCTACCGGCCCAGACTGCCAGCCCATACCGGGCAGCTCCTGTACTGGCCTTCCATTACTGAACGGGGGAGGTTGGTATCCATTTACCGGGCTGGCTAATTCCTGCGGGGCGCCGTAGGAGTAGACCGATGCATTATCCCCAAGCTCAGGCTTGTACTGGTGTTGCGGTGCCAACTCTGAGTAGTGCTGTTGTTGCTGTCCTCCCCCAAGTTCGGGGCGCGTCGTGACCACGACTCCGGGCTTACTGACGCCCATCGGGCCATGAGTGTTGTCTCCGCCGAGCTCTGGCGTGCCATGATATTCGTAGATCGGTCGGTCGGGGGGCGAGGTACCCGGATTGTTATCCTTCTCCGCCTCCTTCTTGAGTTTCTTGCGACGGATGAACCAGCCCAACGCGCCTATCGCACCAATAGCCACAACGGCCCCGAGCACCCCAGCCGCGATGATGGCAGTCTGCGAAACTTTCGAGCCACCCTGAGTGGTTGACGACGAGTTGTTGTCGCTGCTCTTATTCCCAGAATTGTCCCCGCCTCCAACGCTGCCGGTGCTGGAGCTCGTCTGAGTCGGGTTCGATGAAGTTGGCCCGGTGCGAGATTCGACCGTGGGATATGACTCGGCGACGGATTGAGCAACGGTAGCGACGACCTTGCTCTCGGCTGCGCTGCAATAATACTCGAGGACGCTGAGAGCCGATGTCACATCTGCCGTGGCGGTGGAGCTGCAGTAGTACTTGACGGAGGACGTCAAACTACTCGAGACCAAGCTCTTCATGCCGGATTTGATGCAGATACATGAGGCCAAGGCTTGCGGGCCAGGTGCGCAAAGGGACATTGTTTGCTATCCAATGGTTAGCAATCCAGAAACAATTCAGAATATTCAGCAAGACGTACGTATTCGAAAGCGCTTCCAACTGCCGTCTGTGCGCAGCCTCTTAGTGACTGGAACTGAGGAAGAGCAGAGATGTAGTAGGTCACTGTTATCTGTTAGCGTCCAGCTCGTTTGCAGAATATCAAGGTGGCTCACTGTCTCCGGGCGGCCCTGAGGGAACCGCAAACGATGTCGTGCCGTTATTCATGGCGCAGTATTCGTGGTAAAAAGTCTGGGCGAAGCTGAGGTCCTCGGTGTTGGAGCAGTAATACTTGATTGAGCTCACTAACGCATTACTGACACTGGAAGTGACATGCGGTTTACTGCAAACGCATGGAGCATAGCGATCTGCATCCTTTGGACATTTTGACATCTTCCCACTAGTTGTCAGACTTCCATCTTGAAATACCCGGGTATAGATTGCGGTAAAGCCTACCTGTCCCATCACGGCGGCTGACAGACCCGACTGGGCGCAGGGCGCCATGTATTGCATCTCCGAAAGCTCGGTGATGTAGGCGTTGACAATATTCGTGGTCGGCGAGGGGAACGTGATGGTGGAGTCGGGGTTACAGAACTTGGTATATACTTGCTTCGCACTGTTGATATCATCGGTCGCCGGGCCGCCGCAGCTCGAGGTGAGGTCGGTTGTCATGGTGGCCAGGACCTTGTTGGATATAGCGGAGTTGGAGCAGACGCATGACTGGAGTTGAGTCGCGCCAGAGCAACTCGAGGCCGAGGACTCGCGGTTTACTGCCCATGATAAGGCGGAGGCAGCACAAGGAGCCTACATGCGATGGTTAGACTAGTAAGACTGGTGAACAACGACCGGGTGGTCGACGTACTAGTTGACTGAAGATTCCAATATCCGTCACATCTACTACATCCGCGGCCAATCCGAGAGGGAGGAAAGGCACGTAAAGCAGGACCGACAGCCTACCTAAAGACACAGGGAACGGCGACATGGCGAACCAGACGTCGGTACGTCGAACGGACGAACACGGCGGTTCCAACACGAAGAGGATAGAGGCGCAAATCTTGCAGGAGACCTAGTCAAGAAGCGAGCTGGCCGAGAGAAGCGCACACACATGCCCTCCCCATCAACCTCATCCCCCGTCCAGGGCCCAATTCAGCGCCGGCCTGACCCAGCGCAGCCATTGGAGAAGCGGCGCTCATCCTCTATCGTTTTTCGACGCAAGTGGGGGGCAATCCAGGCACGCGCTAGACATGGCGTCTTGGCGAGGACATTATCGGCTGAAGTTATGCCCCTCAGCCGCAAATTACCCCTGACAGCTGAAAAGAAAAGTGGCGGCGCGATGCATCGTGCTTGAGGTGCATCGCGTGGGGCAGGCAGCGGCGTCGGGAGGGAGGCGGTGATATCTCCGATGAGGTCGTTGCCGCCGTTTTATGATTCGCGTCGAGATGGAGCGGCGAAGGGAAAGGTGTCGGATGAGTGTCATGGAGGTCCTGAGGGAATTGACCCCACATCCCTCCACGATCGCGTGGGTTTGGGTTTTGGAGATCAGAGAATCAGCGACAGGGCTGAGCTGACCAGCTTGCCAGTGCCAGCAAAACACCAAGAGAACCCTTGTCAGAGTCACATGACGAGCCCCAGTTCTCTCTTCTTCGACTCCCGCTCTGAAACAGGCCGGCCCAGCACCAAAATATGCTATTGGCGATAGCCCAGGATAAGTGGTAAATCGAGTAATAAATGATTTCGATTGAATTCAGGGTCGTTTTCAAGAACTTAATCTAGAGATATGCACAAGAAGCTTGCATACCTAGGTACCTACCTACCTAGGTAGGATTGAGAAGAGCACATATATTGGTGGAGGCTGGAAGCTTCTCTGAATTTGCCTACCCTATACCATGTCAATCAAAGTCATGTGCCGATTGTCGAATACAAACACAAAAGAAATTCTATGTAACACACTATAGATGTTTGATCAAGGGCTAGTGATGAAAGAGATAAACCCTATTCAATTTGAGGTATACGCTTATGCACGTAATGTACTAAGATTTGTTGTACGAGCTAACTACGACGTAGATGGTATCTGTCAGTGATTTATCTCCTAGGTACTCACTCTATGCACGCTGGTTGTGTTTTGTTTAAAGTAGCCGCATGTTTCTCTGATGCCCTTACAAGTCACGCTGTTATCTATATATGCATGTCAGATGACTTGCATTTCACAGCAATTTTAACCTCTCCGGAAGTGCTGTCACGGTGCTGGTGGGCAGCGGCAGAACGCCACATCATCTTTCAAAGGCTTGCCTACCACCTACCTAGTCATCTTGGTCAACTACACAGCAATTTTAACCCCCCCCAAAGGGTCGTGCTTCATCATGAATGTAACGGAGCTGCATAAATCTATCTTTGGCTAGCTGACAGCGAAATCGGCTGCAACAGGACAAAATGAGAAGGGAAAAGAGAAAACAAAACGTCCCCAACTGTATAGCCCAGGACGGTGTTGCTGGATGAAGGGAGTCTCCTCCCTGCGTGCATGCATATTTGCAGGTCTCATGAGCTGGTCACTTGACGTGCACCCACTGAGTTATGGATTACAGCCGTCAAAGAGCACATTAGTTCGTTCCTCCTGCAGCTCTGTGCATCGTGGCCCACCATTCACAATCATACAAAGTGTGTGGTTGGATGCGCATCGCCGGCTTCGGTCCAGCAATGGCCGAGGAAGGGCACGACTTCTCCCCCGCAGTCCGCCTATAACGGCCGAGACAGTCTGCAATTTTTCCCTTTGCAGTGGTATTAACCAACCTGGCACTTTACCACAAAGTGTTATTCTACTGAGACCATGGCGCCTGCATCGTTTTCTGTCTCTGGAAAGACAGCCATAATCACTGGAGCTGGCTCAGGTACGATACCTCTACAGGACCCTGTCGGGGCAATTGTGACCGAACGGCTGCTGGCCATCTACGTCTACGTTGTGTATTGACCACCTTCACCAGGAATCAACTTCTCGTTTGCCAAGTTGCTTCTCTCCCGCGGATGCAATGTCACAATCGCCGACCTCAGTCTACGACCCGAGGCAGACGCCCTCATCGCCGAGTACAATGGTACCGACCCTAGAAAGCCCCGCGCCATCTTCGTCAAGACAGACGCGACCAAGTGGCCCGACCTCCATCGCATGTTCGACGAGACAGTGGCGGTATTCGGGTCCTTCGACATTGTCTGTCCAGGCGCCGGCGTCTACGAGCCGCACTGGTCCAACTTCTGGCACCCCCCAGGCTCAGCCGAGAGCAAGGACCCGGTCGAGGGCAACCACTACTCGCTGCTCGACATCAACCTGACGCACCCTATCCGGGCGACCCAGATCGCGCTCTCGTACTGGCTGTTCCCTGAAAAGGCACCGCGCGTGCAGGCACACACGGCCAAGGCGTCTCCTCAGAACCCCAAGCGGGTAGTCCACATCTCGTCCGTCGCAGGGCAGCTCCCCGTCTTCCGCGCCCCGCTCTACGGAGCTTCCAAGTTCGCCGTATCGGGCTTCGTGCGGTGCCTGGCGTCGCTGGACGATGCGTACGGGGTGCGTGTCAACGCCGTGGCGCCTGGTATCGTCAAGACCCCGCTGTGGACCGAGCATCCGGAGAAGCTCGTCAACCTGGACCAGAAGAACGACGGTTGGGTGACGCCCGAGGAGGTGGCCGAGGCCATGCTGGCGTGTGTGGAGCAGGATGACAATGTCGGAGGCACGATTCTGGAAGTTGGTAAGGAGCATACGAGGCGGGTGGGTGCTCTGAACGATCCAGGGCCGAATCTCACTCAGGGTTATGGCATCTGGGCCGGGAATGGCTCTGAAGGGGATGACATGGTATGGAAATGGTTGAAGAGCGGCGACGTTTGGGGTTTTCAGGGTCGAAGCAAGCTGTAGTCGGTGGATATCGTGATAGAGATCGGTAAACAGAGTTGATTTGTCTACCATGGAATCGAAGGTCTGGAAATCTGCAGCTCCCAAAGTTTTTATCAGTGTCTTATCGATATCGCTACATGATAAGAAAGTGGGTGCATTAAACACCTTGACATCACGAGAGTGTTTCCAAACTCAAGTTCTGATATAGGCCAATTTATTCAATAGGTAGGTAGCTTGGAATGTCAATAAGTTACAAGTGGCGAGTGTTATTATTGTATATTGGGATAAATTGTCATCAAAATATGAGCATCATGGGTGTCACTGTTATATACGTTGAATGTATGCCGCCTTTGCTGTCCCGGTTTTTCTGTCAGCCCTTAAGCTGCCGTAATAGTGGGGCGATAAGCAATCGAACATCCAAAAAAAAAAAGTTGACTGTGATGGCCGAGAATCACATCATGCCTTATTAGACCCTTGTCTCAAAAGCGAAGTTTTATTACCACAGACCGGATAGCTTCCCATTTCATTCCCTCGAGCCAATCAAATGGGACCGCAATTGAAGAAGCGCAAGCTTCATTCCACCCCGACCGACCGCGTCACGAAGCGATCCAAGCCCTCCGCCGCCGCATCCAAATCGAAGCGCAAAGCCGTCGACGCTGCTGCCCTCGCGTGGGAGGCCGTCGATACCGAAGAGTTTGGCGGTCTCCAGGTCATCGAGGGCGTCGAGGTCGTCAAGCAAGGCAACAAGGTCCAGTTCCTAGTCTCCGAGAGCCAGCAGAACCCCGAGCACCGAGAGGAGGCCAAGAAGTACGATGAGGACGAGTCGTTTGAGGGGTTTGGGGATGACCCTGCTGAGGGCCGGGATCTCCCCAAGGGCAAAGATGGGGCTCGTGAGGCTGGGCTGGAGGCTGAGAGGCCTGGTAAGGAAGTCAAGGGGGACAAACAAAAGCAAAAGCAGAAGCAGAAGCAGCCGAAGCAAAGCAAGCAGCAGCTGGCAGACGCCAAGCTGGCGCCGAACAACTCGAAAAAGTCCTCTGCACAGGGTAACGCCTTCCAGGCCCTGGCAGATGACGACGCCCAAGAAGAAGACGGCCTCGACATGGCTGCCTGGGCGGCGCTGAACCTGTCGCCTCAGATGCTCTCTGCCATTGCCAAGCTTAAATTTGCAAAGCCCACCCTGATCCAGACCAAGACCATCCCTGACATTCTGGCCGGCGAGGACGTCATCGGAAAGGCTCAGACAGGTTCCGGAAAGACGCTGGCTTTTGGTATTCCCATTGTGGAGCGGTGGTTAGAAGAGCACGAGAAGCGACAAGATGAGCTAGACGAAAGCGACGAAGACGCAGACGAAGACGAAAGCACAGACGAAGACGAAGACGTTGAAGACGGCGATGTGGACGGACGAAAGAAACAAAAGACCCCGATCGCGCTGGTCCTGAGTCCAACACGAGAATTGGCCAAGCAGCTCGGAGACCATCTCAAAGCACTATGCGATGGCCTCCCCTCTGCCCCATACATCTGTGTGATCACCGGAGGCCTCAGCATCCAGAAGCAGCAGCGCCAGCTTGCTAAAGCCGATATTGTCATCGGAACACCTGGTCGTCTCTGGGAGGTGCTCGAGGGAGATGCCAAGCTCCAGGAGTCTTTCACGAAGATTAGCTTCCTTGTCGTCGATGAGGCTGACCGATTGCTAAAGGCTGGACAATTCAAGGAGGCGGAAGATATCCTCGGAGCTCTGGACCGAAAGGATCCAGAGGAGGAGGAGAGCGATGACGAAGAGGAAGACCTCTCCCCTAGACAGACATTGGTCTTCTCCGCCACCTTCGACAAGGATCTTCAGACCAAGCTCGCTGGCACTGGTCGAAAGCACAAGGGCGATGAAGACAAGATGGCATATCTCATGAAGCGCCTCAACTTCCGGAGAGAAGCCAAGTTTATCGACGCCAATCCTGTACGACAGATGGCTGAGGGGCTCAAGGAGGGCCTGATAGAATGCGGCGCAATGGACAAGGTACGTTTCCCATTCTCAATATATATTCCTCGCTCAAAGTCGGCTTTCTAACTCTATTATACAGGATCTCTACCTCTACACCGTCCTGCTCCTC